ATGTTTCTTTACTGTGAAGATTCCTTTTCTTGTGAGTTGTGATCTTTTCCGATGAATGAAATTAAAGGGCACTGATCATATATATGGATAGCTCGATGCAATAAATGCTGGTTCTCAAGGAAGAAGAAGGTGTGGGTCCCGCTGTTTATAAACTCAGCCGTTGATACTAACGGAACACGGATGGGAATACCACCGAGGGAACAGGAAGCTGCATCCCCCAATCCCACGGGCCACGGCTGGGCCAAAGGAAGATTTTTTCCAAAACTCTGGGGGCCACCGTCTCTACCTCTCCAAACCGGTCGGTTTCGCACAGGTTCATGCATATGCCACCCACGGATTGGAGCGATTCCAGCATTTTAGAGAGCCCAAGTTGGCTGTCAATCCAGAGTCAAACCAGCGAGGAAAGGAAGGAGAACAACCGCCCGCCCCCGATGCCTTGGGCGGTGCAGCGGTTTTGCTTGGCGGGGAGAAAAAATATTGGGCGAGAAGCAAGCAAAGCAAGCGCGGCCGCGGCTCGTGACTTCCCAACGGCTCCCACTTCCGCGGTTTTCCTCCGTGCAACTTGGAATGGAATACTGTGCTTATTTTATTACTACTACTGTTTGGCGGAAACCGAAGCCTGATGAGGAGGAGATGAGAGAATCCGGGGCCCGTGGTTGGCCGCCTCGCCAGCTGATTCTTACGGATGATGTAGTATAGTACGTGTGACCGGATCACGTATCCGGGGACGGACGAGGCGAGTGGTGCGCGGGCGCCACTTGCGTGCCGAGTTGCCGGAGCCGCATTTTTTTTTTTAAGGGAGGAGGGGGGTGGGGTGAAGGAATCCATGGACCATGGGCGTCTGGTTACAGGTTACATCCCCCTTTGCTCAGGGTTGGAACCCGTACGTCGCTCTCACCGTTGGTTGGATTGGCAAAAGACTCGCGGGTTGAATCCTGGATTGGCTAGAGAGTCTGTGGGTTGGTACGAGAATCTAGCGGCGGGCACTTGCCGCGTGATATGACAGGTTATTGGGCGGTCCGAAGAAGTGGGCGGCGCGAGCTGCACCGCCGCGCACACTCAGCTATTAATCCATTTGTTTTATTTTTTTAAGCTAGTTCTTAATTAATCACTTCCCGAACACATGATGACTCATTAGCACGTGATTAATTAAGTATTAGTTTAAAAAAATAATTTATTAATATGATTTTTTATAACAACTTTCCCGGTTAGCAGTTTAGTAAGCGTGTGCGAAAAAAACAAAAGAGTGAAGTTGGGAACACAGACTAAGGCTGCCTTCATCTCCTTGGGCTGGAAGCGCTACCTCTGGCACGGAAAACGGAGTGGTCCATTAGCGCATGATTAACTAAGTATTTGCTAGTTTTTTTAAAAAAAATGAATCAATATGATTTTTTAAGCAACTTTCGCATATAAACTTTTTGCAAAAAACACACCGTTTAGCAGTATAAAAAGCGTGCACGTGGAAAACGAGTGAGAGGGGTTGGGAATCGACTGGAATGAACATAGCCTAAGGCTATCCCAACTCAGAAACTATCAAGTAAGTTTCTATACTTATCATGTTATATAAACACTATGTTGAAACTATGTATTCAATAGATAATATCTTCAAATTAAGTTCTCATCCAACCACATCCATTCCCTCCCCTTTTATTCACATAAATATCCCCTTTTTTCATTCTTGGTTCTTGTGTAGAGATGGTTTCTTCCATGAGAAATTGTTTCTTTACCTTTTTACCCCTCTCTCTCCTCATTAACTCTTTTTCCACATAAGATTTTTCTTATGTGGTAATGTATTTAATGCTATGGACACTAGATGACATAGAGGGTTGGGTGGCCTAAAGTTGTGTTAGTCAAGGTTCCAAACCACTACTCACTCGTTTTCCATACACACGCTTCCCAAAATACTAACTGATGTGTGTGTTTTTTTAAAAAATAAAAAGTTATTGTAAAAAATCATATTAATTTAACTTTTAAGTTTTTAGCTAATACTTAATTAATTATGTGCTAATAAACAACCTCGTTTTTTTACATGGGAAAGGTTCTTAACATCTACTTAATTAATCATGTGATGTCCGAATTTTGTAATAGCACATAATTAATACCACTACTAGTATTTTACTGCCTCTATCCCTAAATTATAGGACGTCCTCTTTTTAAAGAAAATTAAACTTGATAGATTTTGACTAATAATCATACTAAACATATATATGCTAAGTATTATGTATGTTATATCACTAGATTCATATTTTAAAGTACATTCATGTGATGCTAGTTTCATATTTATTGGAAACATAACATGGAATAAATTAATAGTAAAAATATGTCATTGAAGACCTTATAAAAAAATATAGTTGGGACGGAGGGAGTATTTACTGCACAAAATTTACACTCCCTCCCACATAGGCACACCAGTGTCAACCAGAGTTTCTACAACTACCGATAACCGCAGTAACCACGACAGCGTGGGGGTATAGAAATTTATTCGAGTTCAATCTTAAAAAGAAAAAGGAAAAATCTCAAAACATTTGGAGAAATATTACATTATTTGTAATGAGGTATGGTGATTTTTTATTTTTTGAAATATTCTAAGGCTAACTTCATATTTTAGCATAACAACAAAGCTGCATTGCTTTAAAATAAAGATTTGATGCTCGTGGATAGTATATTATGTTCACAATAATCTCTGTGGTTATGACAGTTATATTATGGTTTATTTTTGTTGTTGTCAAACGTGAGGTTGTGATTTTTATTTTTCTTAGTGGCTTTCATTATTTAAGTCACAAATACCACGGTTATAGCATACGGTTACCATGGCTTATCGTGCACAAACCACTCTCCTATGTTAGTTACGCTGTGCCCTGACCCGAGTCCCCACATCCACATTTATCCACCTGCAACCTGATGAACACAACATTAGAGCCAGGACCGTAGAACGGAAATGTCTTCTAAACAACTCGATAGAAGAAAAGGGGCCTATGTATTTGTATAACCCCTACGGATTTGACCTTACCTATACCTAGAACAAATCCCCTAGCAGCACGCTGTGAATAGGAACTCGTGTGTAACCTTGAATTTCTAGCGTAACAGCAACTTGTACTTTCCCAGTGAGTTTATAAGGATTGACACCCATATCCCAGGACCATACAAACCCGTTACATGAAATTTGCCAAAGCTAAAGAAAGCCACCCCTACAAGAAATAAATGAATTCCAAAGATATTGGATGAAATCCAAAGAAGGTTTTCCCGTATGCTCATCACAGAATATTTCGAGGTCACAATATACCCACGGTGAAAGCTATACAAGTATTATGGCAGCATAACATATAGGCCTACGCTAAGGTCAGCACACCCGTGTGATTTTTGAAAATTTTGAATTCATTTTTTTAGATGAAATTCATGCGGTTATTGACTGTTACCACAGAAACTGCAAGAACGGTTTTTTTTTCTTTGGGGGTAGTTTAACCTCTCCAAACGGTAAAGAAAACATGGGAGTAGCATAGCTTGAGGACTATTGTTTTAAATATGAAAATATAAACTTTTACATATTTTTTTAAGGAATATACTGGTTTTCAGAATAATTGTAAAATTATACCCGATTCGCCAATTGGATTGGCTAATCCATCGGATGGCGCTAATCCATCGGATGGCACGGCATGGTGTTGCCAAATGGCTTGGAAACAAAGGGACATGGCTTCGCCAATTCCTCTAATGATTCTTGTGTAATTCTTTTCATATAAAAAAAGTCAATTTTACCCTCAACTATTTCATTGGATCACTTACTAACTATTATTTTTTAAAAAACTTATTTACCCCTCCAAAAGATTAAAAATGGTTCGCTTTACTATCTAACGTTATTTATCTTTCTTGTTTCTTCCTAACGTTGTATTATACACAAAAATTTTTGTAGAATTTTTGAAACCGGTGTACTTTTGCAAAATTACGAAAAAATAGTAATATTTTCAAAATATAATTCGAAGACTTTGCGTGTATGGCAGTGGGGGCCGGCAAACAACAAACGTGCTTGCATAGCTTGCTAGATATGACTGATTAGTCTATGCATATTGAATTAGATGGCAGACACTAAAACTAAGTGCTTCCCCTACACCATTATCATTTTTTCCCTTGATAATTCCTCCACAAAATTGTATAAAACATATTTTATATTAGAAATAAGTCTATGTACACCCACATCTATAAAATGAAATTGTGTTGTCTAGCATTTTTCTTAAGCCGTTCGATATAGAATATAGGGTGGATGTTGAAACACACATAATGTGCTTTGGATCTGTATATCTTCAGGCCCAGTAAATGCTTCCTGGGTTCGGGCTTTGTGGGTTTTATTTGTTTTGTGGGCTTTTTGTCTCTGTGGTTCTCTGTCGGCCTTTAGACTAACAAATTGGAGTATGTGATTTTTCTGTAGACTTCGCATCAGTGGGCCTGTGCGTGCTTTTTTTAAAGAGAAAATGTATGGCTTCTTCTTGCAAACCAAGGAAATAATAAGTTCACTTAGGTCATTTAATTTGTCGCCTAGTTTGTAATTCGTCTCAAAACCGCATTACTAGATATGACGCGTCTGTCGACTCCTAAAACCAGAGTTGATGTGGTATTTCACTAACCTTTTTCGAGATCTGATTTGTTCCTGACGAGTTCACATCTTTGATCCCAAGACAAAATTAATGTTCGAAATAAAAATTATCTATCATGTGTTGATGCACCAAAAGTTGGGAGGATACAACTAATACCTGTGCATGCATGCCATCCCCTCCCCACCTTAGGATGCAAACAAAAAATACTGCAAAAAAAAAATGAAATTTAGTACGTAATTTTGGGATTGATTGTTGTATTTATTCCTACAGCTATAATATTTGTCACGAGAGGCAGTTGTCACGTTGGCTTAACGATTCTCGTATTTACCTTTATGCAAATCTCAAAACGACTTCCTTTTTTGGCTGGCTAGAGAGAGTACAAGAATAACCAACCAATAAGCGGCAATAGACATCAAGATGAACGAGACACATTGTGAATAAGTAACAAAACATACACACATATCACATATATACACAAGTTGGGTGTTCATCGTCTTCGGTTCTGCAACAGATGCCAGCTACATGGATGATACTCCTAAAGGAAACGCCCTTACTTTACAGCAACAAGAAGCGGATATTTATTTGCAAGATAATCTTGACTATTTACACAATACATTATTCAGTTATCTGAATATCATCTAATACGGCTTTGTTTATTGCATTGTTGAGGATAACACATCGACAATACACAAAGATTTTTATTGAGATTCGGAAAGCTTATTTACTCCTGCTTCTTCACAACAAGAACTGGGCACTTCGAATGATGCATACAGTAATTGCTGACACTTCCAAGAAACAACCTGCAGCAGCAATAGGCAACAGTTAGATAATCCACGATGAGTTTTATGTATAAATTGGAAATTAATTCATGCAACAAGCAATTGATTTATGCTATATCCTTGTCTTCGATAATGCTATATCTGGAATCAGGAGAGCTTTATATAAGTAACTGAATAGTTGTCTGATGTAATCAGAGTTATTCTTTTACTTGATAAAACTGTTGTTCAAGAAAAGATAGTTGAATGCAAAGAGTTGGTATCAATGTCATTGTAGAAATGCAGAATGTCCGATATGTATTAGGCCTTTGGAATTTATAAGGAACATAACAAAACAGAAGCTGTTGAGTTGAGAAAAACAAAAGAAAGGAATGGAACTGAAAAGAAGGGCAATCACTACATCTGCGTCACTCAATGATAAAATTATTAGAAGTAATATTTTATCTTCACCTGTAAAATATATTACTCTTATCTTTATAATGTACAGAGTACAATAAACTTAATGATTATGAGCAGTTTATAAAGAGCACCACCAAAACATGTTCAGTTGACAACGATTAATCCCATAGGTGAAACTGAGGCTTTTCTTTGCTGAAGCTAATGGAGGTTTTCTGCCAGTCCATCTAGTCTTGCTCACTAAAATACCATATTATTAGGATCTACACAAAAAATATTATTTATCTTCACCCATAAAAAATATTACTCTTGTTTTTATATTGTGCTCCTCAGTAAAACCATGATTGCAAGCGGTATATAAGGAGTCCTATAAAAACATATCAGCTAACAGTAATTATCTCCATAGGTGCTAGGTGCAACTGTGGATTTCCTTATTGATCGGAAGGTGTTACAGTCTTGTACCAATCCATTTAGTCTGGTTCATGAAAAGATCATATCTGTTGGCTGTGTACATCCGTTTGGATGTAGAGGCCGGTTTAATCCATTATCTAAAAAAAATATGAAAAGATACAAAAAGAGCCTAATCCAACCATAATACATACAAAAAGAGCAACATGTTTTCAGTTTTTCATCGAACATATAATTCTATTTTGATTGTTCATGCAGAAAATATAATCTATCAACTATAATCTATAAAGAAACCACGATATTTCAAACTATACCTTTGTACAGGTCCACGGCTGTGACTCCCAACGATCAGTAAATCAACCTTTGATTCCTCAGCTGCTTGACATATCATCTCCTTAGGATCTCCTACTTTGATCATTGTCTCTACAGCCACCTGAATTGTAGGTACAATATTACAAGGATTACAATCACTGAACACTAATCCATCCACATAGCACAGTGTTGCACGGAATAAACTGAAGATCTCCTGTGATTTGCCTTATCCTTATGACCTCACGCTAATTTATTTTTGTTAGTCGGTCATACGTTGCCATTCGTTATAAAATAACATAGACAAATTTACGACAATCCAAACAATTATCACAATTCTACCCTCCCTGATATGATGTGTCGATTGTAAAATATAAACCCAGTCCATGTGGTCTAGAGCAGGGTTAGTAGATACAAATGTAGTCAAATGTATAAGATGACGAGACAGACAAGAGCCAAACCGATCACAAGCTACAAGCTAGTATCTCCTACTATTTGTAACTACAAGCTAGTATCTCCAGTTACCTAATTGCAGTTGCAAACACATGAAATTGGACACCTATGGCATTTTCCCTTACTGATATGGCCAAACAACAAAAAATGCTGAATATCTTGAACTAGTAACAACTAACAACAATGTGCTGAGTAGTTGAGCAGCGACCAAACAAACACAAGAGGTCATTCATACTGATGTACTGCACATCCTGCTTGATAATTCAACTTCTCACAAGTTTAATGAGGAGAAATTATGGTCATAGTAGGTGCGGAAACAAGCACATAATACATACCCCATGCTGCGCGCAGATCTGCTTGGCCTTGTCGAGGAGCGCCTGCGAGAGCTGCTGCTGCTGCTCCTGCATCGCCTTGATCAGCTCCGGGGCTACAACGGGGGTGCCCACTATCACACACGCGGAGCAGAAGAAGCACACAATCCCAAAATCAACAACGGATTCAAGAAGGGGAAAAAGGGATCAATCCGGTGAAAGAGGAGGAAAAAGGGATCCGCGTCACGTACGAGGGGAGCCGAAGGAGGCGGCGGAGACGTAGCCGAGGGGGAGGAGCGGCTGCACGGTGAGCACGAGCAGCGGCGGCGCGATGGTCGGCGCGAGGTTGCGCAGCGCCCACTCCAGCGCGTGGTGGCTGAACTCGCTCTCGTCCACCGCCACCATCGCCTTCTGCAGCTTCGGCCCCGGCGCTGACGGCGAGGCCATTCTCGCAACCCCTTGCTACGCTGACGCTGCTAGCTACTACCACTGCTGCTGCTAGATCGGTGAGAGAGTGAGGAGTCGATCTTGCTGGCTTGGCCGCTCGCTCGCTAGAATGCTCGGTCGATGAGATGAGATGAGATGATCAATCCGCTTGGTTTGCTATTGATGGCGAATTGGTTGGCTGATGAGTAGGTGTGACAACTAACAGCTGACAAATCACGCGCGACTTGGAAGTATCAAAATTTGGCTTTGGATCAATTTGGATGTGCCTCATCAGGTCCGAGCTTCCCGAATGCGGTGGACACTTGCACGACACGAGAGCTCCGCGACGACCGCTGCATAGCCACGTGGCACGACGATGCAGTAGTACGACATTTTGCGTGTCGACGTCGGCACGATGAAGTAATCAAGTGGAGTTTGCTTTTCTCGATCAGTTTTAGTTAGGGTGTGATAAAGTGATGATGGATAAAATTAAGTTTTTGACAATTATTAAGAGTACAAATAAATAAATTAAATATTAGTATCGTGGGAAATGACATTTAGATGCCTTTGCACATATTAGTACAGTGGAAATGCCCTTATAAAAGTAAACTCTTTGTAGCACGAAAAAAACAATTTACACCCTTTATCTCAAAATAAATTAACGTTTTACCTATACATCTAAATAAGAGTTATAACTAACTTTAACTTATTATATTTTAGGCCAGAATAACTTTAGGCGTGCCCATGCTAATCCATTGTCAACAAAGAACACAATAACAGCTGTTTTCGTCTGTTAAAGTTCCCAACTACCCGCACTTAGTGTACATGTTTTTCAAACTGAAATGGTGCGCTTTTAAAAAACATTCTATATGAAATGAAGTTGCTTTAAAAAATCATATTGACCCATTTTTCTTAACAAAAGTTTAGCTAATACTTAATTGAACCGTTTTCCGCGCTGGGCGCCCGAATACAGTAGCATCCACACCCTCTGCAATTAGTGCTTTCGTTGAAATATTTCCCTTTCCGTGCTTGCTAACAGGCCCAAAAAACACATATCCAGGTTAAACTAAGGAGCAGCACTATCCAGATTAAATTCAGGAGCAGACAGCAGTGCTATTTTGCCGAGAGAAACACGGGAGCCATTATCAAGATCCTAAGTGAGGCATTGCTTTGCTACAGCCATTTTAGCAGTAAAAAAAAAGTTCGCAAAATCTAAATGGCAGAAGCAAATCTAACTGCCGGGAACTTATTACAGAAGTGGCTGCATACAACATTCGTAACAAACAAACAATGAAACAAAGCGAATGCCCATCGAGCTTCAGAAATTGCCATTCATGCAGCATCCCAGCCAGAAGAAAATGACCAAAAACTCACTGAAAATTGAACAAGCTTCCCAATTTCTCCTTGCATTGATATGCCAATCAACAAAGTATGCTCTGTTGTCATAGCTGACAGCCTGACATGTTCATGTACCTATACATATGTAATGGAAAAAAAAAACAGAAGTGAGTTAGAAGATGGACACACGAGAGAAATCAGTTGATGAAACCCCACCAATAAAAGAGCAGATACTGGATTTTAGTAGACAGTATGCACTAGAGATACAAGATAGTGGTTAGCATTTTATTGGATGTGAGATTAAACTTAAGCCCAGTTTCTAGACTATAAAAACATATGCTAGATTAGAGGATATTGACAGTAGACACAGGAAACAAATTAGTTTACTCAGCTTGCATTGTGTCTAATGAAAAAAAAAAACCTGTGCAGTTTTGCCCATTCATGCTTGCGGTCAGAGTTCCAAACTAGTTTGTCTATAGAAAGTGAACAACATCAACACAGTTTGCTTGAGGTCAAACTTCCCAACAAATTTGTCTAAAATAGCACACGATTCTCAACTCATGTTCTCAAGCTAATTTCTGGTAGCACTAGAAACTAACACTTGCCAAAATCATTATATGTACACATTGCTACGAATTGGATTAAGTTCATTTATCTTCCAAGAGGACTTGTACATTACTAATATAGGTTACAGAGTAAATACTGGAAACTGGATGGTGAGCTATTGAACACACTATTTCAGTAAAATAAAATATAGCAAGCATTGCACATCTTAGTTTACTATATAAGGCCAAAAGCACAACTTAAATAATTACCTCTAGATACCCTTTCCTCCCTTGAGGTAAAAATCAGCGAAGTTTCTCCTTCACAGAATACTTCTTGGCAGCATCCCGCACCTTTTCAATATACCCTTCAATTGGTGGCGTGAGTGTTGCCATGTATCGGTTTGCAGGGAATGGTGTCATGTCAGGAATCATAGCAGCAGCTCGCAGCTTCTCAGGGAGTGCTGCAATGGCCTCCTTCTTGAGACTTAGAAGAGACGATTCTGCAGTTTGCCGTGCGCGGTGCCGTCGCATTAGCACCTGACTGTATTGTTTGGCAAGTCGCCGGCCATCTTCGACTGTCAGCTCGTATTTAGGGATTGCGTCCTCATCAACCAATCCAAGACTGATGTAGTCAAGACCTGGTGGACCCATCAGCACACGGCCACCATCACCCTCACGGGTACCTTTGGACTTGGCTTTAGCCTTGGCTAAATCAAGTTCACGTTGACGTTCCTTAGAAATGAGTCCAAGCTCCTCACGTTTGGCCTCACGAAGACGCTCCTTGGGGGATAGATGGCGCAGAGGAGTTGAGGCATTCAGACAAGACTCTGCAATCTGAGTAATACGCTCAATAGCCTCACGACGACCACGCCCACCGCCACCACCCCCACCAGTGGAAGGCGCGCCGCCCTTCTTTGCTCCAATGGTGTTACGCTTCAATTGTTGGCCAGACTTGAGCTTAGCCTTACCCTTGGCTGTTCCACTCACTGGCGCATGCTGTTGAAGCTGGTGATGCTGGCACGTCATCCCAGATGCCAATGCCGGGTTGATAGTAAGTCCCTTGAAAAGACGCCGAGACATGCTAATGGATGAACTTAAAGCCATTGCACCACCTAAGCTGCATGAATCACCATGTGTAAATCATTTTATCTTTTGTGTCTTTCATAGTGAAAGGGTGATTTTTTTTTCAAGACAGGTGGTATTGTCAATTATAAGAATGCTAAATATATACATATATTTTTAAATTAAACTCTAAAAATATCACAAAAAGGAACAGGTAAGAGAACACTTTAACCCTCGAGTTTTCTGCAATAACACAGGTTCCTTTTAATAACACAGAAAAGTAGTAATAAACTAACATGTTCCTCAAAAAACATAGATATGTTATATACTTGCAGGCTGCAGCAAGTAAGATAGCTAACGAGAACATAAAAGTTGCCCAAACAAACTGCACTGAATCAACTGCACAAGAGACAATTTTACATTCCTACTCCCTTAATGTGCCACAGAGCAAGAAACAATGAAGATGACTAAGCATTGAAACAGCAACACAAGGAGAACATGCGGAGTTGCGGCGGTTAATCTGACAAAGCAATATAAACGCTTGTAATCATCAGGACTCAGGGGGCCATGGGGGTGGGCCCACCGGCCCAGGATTGAACTTGGTTATTCGCAATGGGAAGAGATCATTTTTTTTTTACAACCCAAAGTCTAATAGTTGTATAATATATAGCGGTATAAGCATAATTTCATAAAGTCATAGATAAATAAAATTGACCATAAATTGAATGTGCTTAGCATATGAAAGTACTAAACTACTAATTGACAAAACATATCAAATTTATAGAGGATGGAAAATGGCAAAATGATAAGAAACCATGAACCATGAACCATGAAACTACTAATTAAATTACTAAAGTTCAATTGTTCAAATATATGCAATAAATCAACCATGAACCATCCCCTGGATTCAAATGGTAAAAAAGTTCCTAAATCCTAAATTCACAGCACTTAGCACTACCATCTAACAGTAGGCATTAGGATTTAGGCAGAGTTACCTTCGGCCTCTCGGCTCTCGGGACAGGAAAAGTGCGGTGGTGAATGGTCGGTGGACGAACAGGACGGCAGCGCGCCGACGCCACTCGCCAGGCCCGGGCGGCGTCGCGGGCTCGCGGGGCGCCGGGGCGGTGCGGGTGCGACGGCGAGACGGGGCGACGGCGCAGGCCGCGGGGCGCCGGAGAGGTGATGAGGTCGGCTACGGCGCGATGGGCGACGGGCGCCGGCGCGTCCTCGCCTGGCGGCGGCTGTCGGAGAGAGCTCAGAGAGGAGATCGATGGGGAGAAGAGTTAGGGTTTTTTGGTTTTGGGTTTTTTTCTCTCTATTGGGGGTTAATGGGCCGGAAACGACGAGGAGAGAAGGAGGGTGGGAGGATGGCAAGCCCAATTAAGTAACCGTTCTTTTCTCAAAAAAAGGTTGGATGAAAATGTAGATATTTATAGCACGATTTCAAACTGCTTGCTAAACGGTATATTTTGCATGAAAACTTTCTATAAAGAAGTTACTCTAAAATATCAGATATATATATATTTTTAAATTTGTAATAATAAAAACTCAATTAATCAAACGTTAATACCACATTGTTTTACGTAAAACACTTAATCTTCATCTACATGAATTTTAAACACCACCATATCTATGTGCATATTAAATATATATACTTTATGAATACCCATTTGAATACCCATGAATTACGGTGGGCCTGCCTTTTGGGGATTCATTTGACTTTTGGGGGCAAAAATTATATGCTATCAGTAAGTTCAGGCAAAGAGAAAAGCTTCTACCTCTAGAAGAAAACATTTGGGTTTAATGCAAACGGGAGAGAAAAATGTGGGGGAGAAAGAGAAAGAGAGGATGTGAGTGCCGGACTGACGGATACTCACCAGCAAACGACGAGAAATAGCAAGGGGGGGGGGGGGTGTGGCGCCCGCATTGCTGCTCGCGAGATGGAGATCGGCTCCGGTGGTGGGTGAACTCGCGAGGCCGGCAGCAGTGGGTCGACGAAGGTGGGATGCTTGCCTAGAGAGTGCCTTGGTGTTTAGGGGCTGTTCAGATTAATGCTATTTTCAATCATATCATTATTTTTTTAAGTTGTCAAAAAATTTTTACGTTTAGTTTGTTGCTAAATTTGATAAATACATAGGAAATCCTGTCAAAATTTTAGCAATATTGTCAATTTGCCAAAATTTTGGTAAGATTTATTTTGGCTACAATCTGAACAGGCCCTTAGCTTTTTATCTAAAAAAACTTACGGCAATTTATTTAAAATTTGCCAAAAATATAGGTCGACAGTCTAAAATATACTATAATTATATTTGAAAGTCTTCTTTTAAAGAAAAACTTGCGATAGTTTTTTAGCAATTCCCAAAAATAGAAGTCGGTTGGCTGGAAATCACAAGTGTAACACCATATCGAATAATCAAAGTTCGAACATGTTACATCAGACGGTCACCATACGATTAGCTGGATGTGTGATGTCAAAAGCTCGTCTAACGGTTGTCGATAGAGTTGTTGGCTAGACTAAAAAAGTGAAAGTTCAGAATGCGAGTGCGTGTAGGGTGCAAAATCTACTCCCTCTATTTCATATTGAAAAATTTCATCCACTCAAACCTTTTGAAAAATTTCTATGGATTGAAATGTGCATGCATTCCTATAGCTCTATTTTCATAGATTGTACACTTAGCCTAGCGATGCCCCATGGGATCTTTTTCCTTGTCGGCACCCAATTGCCGATAGGTTACTGATTTTTTAGAACTTGGTCCTTTTTCTTTTTTTTTTTTGCAAAATTTCATTAAATTATAATTATTCGAAAAAAAAGTATTGTAAGCACTATGCAGCACCTCACCAAAACGCACAACGAATAAGCGCTCCCTGTTTGCCAGTCCAAACGTCATGCACTACTGCACCAGCCTCTTAACACAACGGGAATCAGCTAGAGTTTCCTGCATCCATGTAAAAATAAAAGGGGAAAATATCCTCTGCATTACAATCTAAATTTGACTAAAAGAACTACGATAACATCTTGCCGGTATGAAACTTTTGGCCCGTTTGTATCTTTTCCGTGATAGCTCCAGGACTCAATGCCCAAAGGATAAAAGAAAGGGTGAAATTACAGATCCTGATCAACAGGACGCAGGGAAATATCCAAGGCAACATGTTCTCATTCTCCAGAAAACTATAAGCACCACAGCCAGATCACCTCTCATTAAGCACCGCAGCCTTGTTGACCAAGCTCGTATAGCGAAAGGACAAGTGGTCGATAAGTTATGCAGCCACAAGATCAGGGGTCTCTGCCTCAACTGACAACAGTGTAGTGTGAACTTTTCCGACCCATGCGTCCAGCCGCTCACGCAAGGCCTTCACCTGTGGAATTCCAAGTACTCTAGGCTGGACCCATGACACGTGAACTGTGCTGTCCACCTCATCAATTATCCCTTCTATAAGATGAACCTGCAGTGGAGAAAATGCATGGCAGCTGATACACTAGCGACTAAAATAATTTCAATATTTGACTACTCCCTCCGTTTCACAATGTAAGACTTTCTAGCATTGCCCACATTCATATAGATGCTAATGAATCTAGACACATATATATGTTTAGATTCATTAATATCTATATGAATATAGGCAATGCTAGAAAGTCTTACATTGTGAAACAGAGGAAGTACTAGATAGCCTGCTTTTCAGGGTGAGAATCATGTACTAATGATTTAGAAAGAAACTGTAATGGAAGTCTGAAAAAGGTGGAACTGGAAAGAACGGTAATGAAGCTGATGCATTAGCACTAGGAATACTGGCTGATGCATTGTGCAAACACTGAAATAGTATTAAGGCAAAAGGAAGTGACATGCAACAAGAAAAGAAACAGGGCTGTGATCATCCAAACGAAAAGACATGAATCACAGGACTAGTTGAACTGCCAACACACTCGTAGGTCATTACTCACCACTAAAGGTTCACAAAACAAACCATAAAGAATCACCAAGTAAATTACAAGTTAAGAAAGTCAAGGAATTGACAGCAGTGATATGCATCACAAGTTATCAACAATCACTATTCCAGATCCAGCTGCAACATAAACCGGCAGCAACTCCCAAGCTTAAAATCAATTTATGCATAACAACAATGAATTTCCATGAAAATGCAAATAATATCTTATGGAAGATAGAAAGTAGGAAATGCAGTTACCGAGAGGCTCTTCATAAGAAGATATTCCACATCACTGATAGAAAGCTTAGTGCGCTCAGCTATAACACTTAATGGGATAGTTCTGTCTTCTGATGGCCGGCTACAATATGAAAAAGAACACAAGGTTTAGAAGAAAGAAAACGATGGAATAGGGCATTTGTTCTTGTCATATAAAAGCAAGTAGCAAAGTCATACGTAAAGATTATCTCCATCAGACATAGAATGTTGATCTTCTCTAGCAGTTTTCGTTCATTCTGCACCAAAGCTGGCTGTGCACTAAGAGCAGCGTTGTGGACCTTGCAAAGTTCTTGGTAGAGAGCTAGGTTGCCAGTGTTGAATGCTTGCAACATATGATAGACCCACTCCACCTTGGTTCCAATTAGACTGTTGATCTAAGGATTAAAAAATAGCAGTTTCAGAACAGAGATGTATCAAATTGACAACTATATGCTGACATAGATTTAGGGGCCATTCAAGCATTAAAAAAACACCTTGTACGCATTTGTGGAATAATTCTGTTTGGGGGCTGAAGGCTTCCACAGGTCAATATCAATTTTCCCAACAAAAAATTAGTACACCTAAGTTAATTTTCAACTAAAGATGGTTTGCCGTTAATTTATGCAAAATTAAGTTTACGCTGTTTCCATTCAAAGAAAGTACAAAGCTTCCGTAATAACAATTCAGTGGTTTACATTTACATTATTGAAATTTCAGCCAAAAAACAATCACAAGTTATCACATGATTTTTCATTGTATTTTATATTCGCTACATAGCAAAAATCATGTCAATCTTAACTCCATACATTCAACTCATGAAATTACTGTTGCCAATTTAGCAATAAATGTTGTTAATCTGCGTACAGAACTACAAAACCACGAAGCCTAACTACTATAACACACATGCAACTTCTTTGGGAGCCCTGCAGTTCACATTACAAAGCATAATTTGTAAACTGATTATTCCTGAGGATGACAACAAGCCGCATGTAACGTTTATAGAGGCAAGTGGAGTTAATGCCATAATCAAGTAATCAACTAGCACAAATGATATGACTAAATGAAAGGTAGGCAGTGGGAACAAAGAAATCATGCCCAAGAAAAGCCCAACTTACAATCGGGTGAGCTAATAATTCCCCAAAGTTGTATATGTTATCACCAAGCAAGGCTGCAAGGGAGAGATCAAATGCCAAATCCTGACACATGACAGTGTCAAAGGGTAAATTATCAATACAAACAATATGCACAGTATGTTGTTATTAAACTAACTAATGAGAGGAGGAAATGCTATTTTTTTTCTGTTATGTAATTGGCATTGTTAATACCAGCTTGAATGACTCAGAGAGCGACTCCACAGTAGTGTAGGCCAGATAAAGAAGAGCATTCTTATAGAATTCAGCGAATTCTTGGCAAGCCTTATGGTACTGAGATGATATCCAATAAAAGCTAGCATGGACTGTGGGATCAACATCAGTCATGCTATCAAGGGTGGATTTCCCTTCATCCAAAAGCTTCTTGCACTCCTTTTGATCTCCCTTCTCAAGGTTAATTGCAGCTATCTGCATCTTGACATAGAGAACGGGTTCATCGATGCGCCGTTCCCTCGTCTCGCGCAGTTTTGCGGTTACCCCCTCGAGGAAACTAATCGCGGCATCCTTGTCAGGGTACTGGCGTGAAGCGATGACCGCGAAGTGGGCAAGTTTGAGAAGATTGATCTTCGTCTCGAAGTCAGAGATGAAATTGTTGTAGAGCTGTATGATGGTGTCGCCAGTCTGTGGGAGAATGAATGCCGTTAGAATTGCAGGATTGCCCATCAGTTAAAACCCTAAGCATATGGTTGTTGAAGTAATCCAAGATTGAAACATTCAGCTAAGTCTACACAAAGTGGTGGCTTCTTGCGGCGGCCGGATCGGTATCAGGGCAGGGCCAACTCAACTAGGGCTGAGATCGAGCACCTACAAACGCGGCGGGTAGGGTTTGCGGCGAGATCCGTATGGGGGGCAGTGGCTAACCTAGAAGAGGCGCATCTAAGAGGAAGGGGAAAAGTGCAGACCTGGGCGGCGGGGAGTTGGAGGAAGTGGTCGAGCTTGAGGGTGAGCTGGTGCCAGAGCTTGCGCTGGTAGAGGTCGGCGAGGTCGGCGTAGGCGTCGGCGAGGTCGGGGCGCGCCTGGCGCTGTGCCTCCACGTACTGCAGCGCCATGGGAAAGCTTGGAGGAGGGAGGGATCTGTACTGTAGAATCAACTCTTGTTGGAAGGAGGAGGAGGAGGAGCAGAGCCGGAGGAACAAGGATACTTGCGCCGTGCCGTCCTGGGCTCCTGCCGGAGGTTGGGATGGGATTCCCGTACTGGGCCCGGCCGGCACGAAGTTGCAGATGGTAACACGGCCCGGACTGGCCCAGCCCACCATCACCATGGAGTTCCCGTGGGAGGAAATTGATTGATTCGAGGACCGCTACGCGCGGGTGGCAGGAGCCAGTGGCTCGCTCCGTGCCGACCAGCCTACGAGTCTGGTTCGACCCCCTAGACTCGACGCTCGTCCCTCGCCCGGGTTTTTTTTCCCCTCTTTATCCGGGACTGACTTCTTTCAGTTGGTCCCGGCGGTAATAAGGTATACACGCGTGCCATGTACTGAGGCCTAGTGCCTCCAATCTCGTGTAAGTAGTATAGGGACGCACACTTACACACGCCACACGTGTAAGTAATACAGGGACACACTTACACGCGTGGTGTGTGTAAGTGTGCGTCCCTATACTACTCAATCAGGAATAATTAACTATTTTCCACTTTTACGAATGGTCATAAAGGATTTGCCATTAAACTCATATGTTATAGACACATGATGGTACACATGTCATAAATAGTGAGTGTTAAATCCGTAATTGTCACATCTTAAAAAAGGCAAATAGTTAAATGTAACACTCAATCATACTTACCCCATCCCATAAAAAATAAATATAGAATTGAATGTGTCTTATTTTAATATAGGACGTGACTACATATCTAGTGGTAATTGTTTTGTCTAAATCAACTACCACATCATCTATGAGAAACCCTATCCATCTATACTTGAAATAAAATCTTCTCTTAAATACTTATCCGATTTATGATTCGATTACACCGTTGTGTTCGTAACAATTAAATCTTTATAATAAAATCTCACATGGTTATATTTTGATGAAAAATTATAAATTACTTTATAATATATCTAAATTACTTTTAGATTTCACTAAATTACTTCTTAGACATATAAAAGTAAATTCAATAAAGCCTAAAAGTAATTTACATATATTATAGAAGTAACTTATAACAAAGAGAAAGTAACTTTAATGCATACTTTTTTCATTGTGGACGTGACTACACAGTTAGTGATAGCTGGTTTGTACTCCATCTAATGTCACATTTTAACTTGAAAAATGCAATAGTATGTATCTTTTTCTAATCCCTTTAATAAATTATATATTTTAAATCACATATTGTTTTTAAGATCTATTTGCATCATTGTACTCCACCCAAAATATGTGACAAAACGAGATTCATATTGATTAGGAAAACGTACGAATTACCCCCCCTCCGAACTATCATGGTCGTCTGAATTACCCCCCTGAATCACAAAACCGGACATTCTTCACCCCCAACTATGCAAACTGGACGAATTACCCCCCTCGACCCAATCGACAGTGGTTTTGGTCTACGTGGCGTACACGTGGCAGTCCAGTCAGCGTTTCTTTAATAAAAAATTATGGGGCCTGCCTATCTTACTCTTCTTCCTCTCTCTCTCTCTATTCTCTCTCTCTCGCTCGCTCTTTTCTCTCTCGCGCAGCGCGCACGGCGAGGACGAGCTCGGGGACGGGCGGTCGGTGTGGGCGGTCGGCGAGGTGAGGCGAGCGTGGCGGCGCGGAGGCGGACACATCGTTGATTCGATTGGCGAGGTGAGGACGGCGGCGCATGGGGGGCGGAGCCAGTTGTGGGTGGCGGAGCGGGCCCGAGGACGACGGCGGCCACCGGAGGCGGAGGCCAACCGGGTGCACGGGGACGCGCGGTGGCCGGTAGGCTCCCCCTCCTCGTTGTGGGCGCACGGGGACGCACGGGGACACCACCGCCACTGCAGCTCCTCCTCCGAGCCGTCGCGCCGCGCCCCATCCCACCTCCCCGTGCCAGGATCGGCGATGGAGACTGGCGGACGCGGTTCCACCGAGGACGCAGGCGTGAATGGCGACCGGGAATCCCGCTCCACCACCCCAGATCCAAATGCGAGCTCGGTGATGACACATGGAGCTTGGGTCGGCGGCCGCGCGTGCGTCGGCAGCAGCGGCGGCGGCCACGACAGCAACAATGCCGGCACACTAGTGCCAGCGCCGGTGCCGGCGTCGTCGTCGTCGGTGAGCGCGGGGAGGCCGAGCCGGCGGCCGCGGTGGTGGCGGATGTGGCTGCGCGAGAGCGAGGCGGTGGTGATGGAGTCGACGGAGCAGAGCTGGAGCTGTGATGACGCTTTCTCTCGTGGCCCAATCTTCTGGTGAGGGGGATAACTCTCGCTTTGATCGAGTGCGACGTTTGCGATGTGGCTACCAACCAGAACAAGTCCAGGACGCCTGCAATCGCTACACTACAAACGATGTCGTATCAACCGTGACGCGCGGTTGATGATCCCTGCAATGCAAACGAGAGAACACTGCAAGAACAAGATAAGATGCAATCTAAATATTGCGAATAGGTAATTAAGCACAAATGAATAGTTGCAATTGAAGTGGTAGATCTAATCGACCCAGCAAATCAACACACAAACTATTAGGGGCTCTGAATCTATAGTCCTTGACTAATCGAATGAAGACTAGAGACAAGGTGAATGGCACTTGGCAAAATTCAACTAAACAAAACCCAATTGTTTTTAAGGATGTACAAAGCTATTTATAGAGGAAAATAAAGCTAGGGTTAAGTGCTAATTCGTGGAGGTGGAGGGAGACACTTCCGAGATGGGCCTAGTCTATTACAAGGCCCAAGACCCAAGTTCGGTTTGAGCAACATCACTGTCTTGTTTTGGTGATTCCCGTTGACTCGAGATGAATTTGGACATGAGACCGAATGCGTTTGAAAGGTAGCGAGATAGCTTTCCACAAAGTCCAAGATCACCCAAATCGGAGTTGGCAAGAAGGCGCTAGGTCCGTTTGAAGTCAGTGCTGTCTCCGGAGGCCGAAATGGACTTGGACTTGGAATTATCATTGGAACGTGTGAAGTTATGTGCGTTTCCGACGAAGTGATGTCCTCATCATCCTCCCCTTCTTGAATTGGAGTCGTCCTCGACTCAATCCCATCTTCTTGATCGTGTTCACTCTGTCGTCCAGGGGTCATCCTTGGAGGTATCTCATCATGAAAAGCACCCTCATATTCCTGCAAAAGGTTAGTAACAGCGAGTAGCAAAGAATATAAAGTACTGGAAGCAGTAGCCAATGTGGGTATATGATCTTTGCAAAATAGAGGATAGCAACAAGAATCTAGCTCTTCTAGTGCACAAATATTATATTTAGAAGCTAACAAAGCACCCGTCAACTTAATTTCATTCTTTGTGGCACTTGGTTCTGTTGTACTAGGTGAAGCAAGATTCTTAGTAATAATCTGATTTTCACTTTTCGCTTTCTTTTCACATTCAAGACTTGCAAGATCATCTTTCAAAGCAGCGGCTGGAGTCATAGAATGCAAAACAACTCTTTTACCATCGAATATAAATTTATATGTATTAGTCCTACCATCAAAAACAACTTCTCTATCATATTGCCATGGTCGCCCCAAAATAACAGAACAAGCTTGCATATACACAACATCACATTCAATTTGATCATGGTAGGAGCCTATAGAAAAAGTATTTTAACTAAGCGGGTTACCTTCATCTTACCACATGTATTAAACCACTGAATATGATACGGATGTGGATGTGGATGGGTAGTCAAGCCAAGCTTCTTGACCATCTCTTCACTTGCTAAATTGTTGCAACTCCCGCTATCAATAATCACTTTGACGGTATGGCCTTTCACAAGAACTTTGCTTTGGAATAAATTGTGGCGTTGGTTTTGCTCTTCACACTTCTCTTTAGCACTAAGTGCTAGCTTGACAATTAGGCTAGGATACTGATCTAGCGACTCTGGATGCAAATGGACTTCCTCGATGTCATCGTTATCTTGTCCTCCTACATGGTCAGTGGCAACTAAAGCATATTCATCATCACAATCACTAGTAGAAGTATACTCACCATCATCATTCACAAATAGAGCTCGCTGATTTGGATAGTCGCGGGCAATGTGTCCAATGCCATGGCACCTATGACATGTAATATCACGGGTACGTCCAGTGGAAGCTACCGAAGTTGCACTCTTGGCTGGAGTCTGAACTGAAGCATTTTTGCTTGTTTCTTGAGCATGGGATGGCGTGGAGGTAGGTGGACGAACGGCCGTAGTAAATTGACGTGGTGTTGATTGTCGTGTGGAAGTAGCACCTGCAAAAGAACTCCTATGCTTGTTGCGTCCCTGCACTTCTCTTTCAGCTTTGCAAGCAAATTGGAATAATCTATTCACGGTATTGTATTCTTTGTATTCAAGAATACCCCGCATCTCCACCAAAATGATAACAATCCGGCCTAGGTGGGGTTGGCCGAGGCCCAACAAATTAAGGTTGCCTGGACTCAAACAGTTCTTAGGCACACTAACTTGGGGAAAGGCCCAATCTCCCTAAAAGACTAATCCAATAGGGGAAGGGTGGCTCTCCCTTTTAAGGTGTCTTTCTCCTCCCAAGCTAAGCAAGGTGGGATTATTCAGAGGCTCACACGGTCGCCGCCCGACTTTTGCGTCTTTGCCAGCGGATAATAGTGGAGGATGTCCTCATCATTCCCACCCTCTTAACAAGGGCCCAGCTCTGATACCAAATGATAAAGATCTGGCCCAGGTGGGGTTGGCCGAGGCCCAACAAATTAAGGTTGCCCAGACCCCAACAGTTCTTAGGCACACCCACTCGGGGAAAGGCCCAATCTCCCCTAAAAAAATAGTCCAATAGGGGAAGGGTGGCTCTCCCTTTTAAGGTGTCTTCCTTCTCCCAAGCTAAGCAAGGTAGGATTATTCAGAGGCTCATACGGTTAGCGCTCGACTTTTGCGTCTTTGCCAGTGGGTAATAGTAGAGGATGTCCTCATCAAGCTGGTGGACAGCATGATCAAGATGCTGTGCACCAATGGCGTCTGGTGGCTGGAGGACCTGCAGGACCTCCTCGCCTGCTACCTCTCGCTCAACGCCGCCGAGCACCACCGCACCATCGTCGCACTCTTCCGCCGCGTCATCCTCGTCTGAATCCACCTTAGCAGCAGAGGCTTCTTCCCAGCCAAAGGCTTCTTGCTGACGCGGTGCAGCCTCCTGCCGACCGCCCGTCCCCGCACTCGTCCTCGCCGTGCGCGCTGCGAGAGAGAGAGAGAGAGGAAGAAGAGTATTACATGCGGGACGCACAATTTTTAATTAAAAAAACACTGACTGTACTGCCACGTGTACGCCACGTAGACCAAAACCACCGTGGATTGGGTCGAGGGGGGTAATTCGTCCGGTTTGCATAGTTGGGGGTGAAGAATGTCTAGTTTTGTGGTTCAGGGGGGGTAATTCAGACGACCGCGATAGTTCGAGGGGGTAATTCATACTTTTTCCTATTGAATATATTCAAACATTTAATTAATTTAAAAGTAATTTATTACATGTTAGAAAGTAACTTCTATGTTATCAGGAAGTAACTATTACATCTTATACATGGTTAATTCTCATTAGTTATTCCATCAATGTTATTTACAATCCATCAAAGGTTTTATCTTCTTTTCTCTTTCTACATGAAAAACAAAAATGAAAGGAAAAAAAATCGGTAATTAAACATATTTATAGAGAGTTACTTCTTAACCATGCAAAAGTTACTTCCAATTAACATTGAAGTTACTTTTGAAAAACATTGAAGTTACTTTTAAAAATTGTTAAACTTACGTGTGTTGATCTGTGCTGATTAAATTTAATTTCTAGATAAAGTCATATTTTTATCCCTACAACGAATTTACTTCTAATGTTGTGACAAAGTTACTTCCGTTTTGTTTTAAGTTACTTTTATAATATATGTAAATTACTTTTAGACTTTATTGAATTTACTTTTATATGTCTAAAAAGTAATTTAGTCAAATCTAAAACTAACTTATATATATATGATAAAAGTAACTTATTTATATAATAAAAGTAATTAACAAATATAAATATTTTTTCATCGTAATATAATCATGTAATATCTTGTTGTGAAGATTTATCGTAACGAACACAATGGTATAATCGGATTATAGATCGGATAAGTAATTTGAGAGAAAACTTTATTTGAAGAGGAAAAAGACACCCACGTGGATGGACGCCACGATGACGTGCACGATTAGACGGCTCTGAGATGTGTCGCACTATACAGCTAAACCGAGAGCGCTCTCGAAATAGATTTCCCGTTTAATATAATGAATCTGATTGTCCAGATTCGTTGTACGTCCTAGATTTGATTTTTTTTATGGACTAGATTTGACTTTTTTATTACTGAGGGAGTATAATTTTGGATTTCCGCATTTTCCTAGAGCACACCACACCAGCAAGCCCGCCCGCAGCATACCTCCTACGCTTAGCGCTAGTAGAGATTAATGTTAAGGTAATAGCGATTAGCGTTAGCATGCCGATTTTTGGCAATTTTTTCATTGTATTTTATAATTAAATGTTTCATCTTAAATTTTAAAATATTCTATTGAAAATTTTCAATTCGAATGTTGAACTCAGATTTCAAAACATTCGTCTCAAAATTTAAAACTCTCAACTCAAAAATTCAAATCTGAGCTGAAAGTTTTCAAATCCAAGTTAAAAATTTCAAATATTGATTTAAAAGTTTTCAAATCTGAAATGGAAGTTTCAAATCTTGACTTAAAGTTTTCAATTCTGAGTTGAAAAGTTTTTAAATCTTGACCTGAAAGTCTTTAAATCTAAGTTTAAAACTTTTAAGTTAACTTAACTTAAAAGTTTTCAAATCTTAAGTTGAAGGTTTTTAAATCCGAGTTAAAAATTTTCAACAAGAGAAAAAGGAGATTGGATAAGGTGTGCGCTACTTATCTTGCTAGTGCATATGTGTTAAATAGGATTCCAGTTCCACTAGAGAGGTGCCAAAAAAAAATTAAAAACCCCATCTCCACATATCTCGCTCTCCATAAGTTGGGAGTCCTCCTTGTTTCTATCCACGGATCCGAACGCGAGCACGAGGAACTGTTGGTAGGAATGGGTGATTTTTTATATTGAAAAATCAGATTTCTTCTCTACCGAGCTCACTTATCAATTGTAGGGAATCAGTTTTAGGCATCCATTGGAAAAGACGACTATTTTCATGCATCAAATTCTGTTTAGGGTTCTCAAATTTTTTTTTTGAGGATATATTTTTTTAATATCTCTTGGTAACGTTCTAACCCCACTAGTTTCGTTCTACCTTGGCTCTTCCCTTGGACTTCATAGTTTGTCTTAGATTTCGTGAAGATAGCTTTAGCATTTTCCCTTCTAGGTGTATTCATGTTTTCTTTAAAAAAAATTCAAAATACTGGTGCGAAAACGATTTAGATTGATTTGCTCTAAGGATAGCAACTGAGCTAGGGCTTGTCACATATGGAGTCGCTGTACTAAGGCGACCTAAGAAATTCTGTTAAAAAGGATTCTTGGTATCCTGCAAGCATGGGGTATTTCATATGTTGGATGGAGGAGTAAGATTAGAGTCATCAATATCCTGTGAGGATTATACAAAAGGTTTACCATATTCACACATCCACGAACCCACCCCTAAACACGTGCTCAAATAGCCAGAGGTCGGCAGCAAATCTCAAAACCTCACTAAATCTATCTATTATATTATTAAAGGAATAGAAAAAAGAACCTCCACGTTCATTCTCATGGCCTAGAAATTCTCACATTAATCGGAGAAAAAGAAAAAGCAGAGTCCATATAGAAATACAATTTAGAAATAGCTGAAATTCAGAATTAAAAAATAAGGAATATTAGAAGAGGAGACTAGAGTCCATATAGAAATACAATTTAGAAATAGTTGAAATTCAGAATAGAAAAAGGAGCCTCCACGTTCACTCCCATAGTCTAAAAATTCTTACATTAATAGGAGAAAAAGAAAAAGCAGAGTCCATATAGAAATACAATTTAGAAAATAGCTAAAATTCGGAATTAGAAAATAAGGAATATTAGAAGTAAAGTATAGAGTCCATATAGAAATACAATTAGGAAATAATATAAATTTGGAATTAAAAATAAGGAATATTAGAAGTAGAGTACAGAGTCCATATATAAATACAATTAAGAAAAAAAATAGAAATCCGGAAATTAAAAAATAAGGAATATTAGAAGTAGAGTATAGAGTCCATATAGGAATTTAAAAACTAACTAAAATTTGGAATAAACATAATAAAATTAAAAGTAGAGTTTAGAGTCCATATAAAAATATAATTTACAAATAACTAAAATTCGAAATTAAGAAAAACATGGGAAGAAGAGTTTAAGGTCAGAGTACAATTTAGAAGTAAGTGAAATTCGAAATTAAAAATTAAAAAATATTGAAAGATGAGTTTAGAGTCCATATAGAAATACAATTAGAAATAATAAAAATTCAAAAATAAAATAAATAATATTGGAAGAAGAGCATAGAGTGTATATAGAGATACAATTTACAGAAAATTCGGAATAAAAAAAAGAAATATTAAAAGACGAGACTAGAGTCCATATATGAATATATATAATTTACAAATAACTAAAATTTGATATTAAAAAAAATTATTAACTAACACGTATATAAAATATAATATAAAAATTCATAAATAAAAATAAATAATATTGGAAGAAGAGCATAGAGTCTATATAGAAATACAATTTACAGAAAATTCAGAATAAAAAAAGAAATTAAAAGACGAGTCTAGAGTCCATATAGGAATATATATAATTTATAAATAACTAAAATTTGATAGTAAAAATAATTAATAACTAACATGTATATAAAATATAGGGGCAATTGTATTCTTGCTTCTACTTTGCAGTTTAATTGTGATTTTACCCCTAATTTTTAGGGTTTGTGATTTTACTCCTGCTTTTTTTTAAATGAAGCACCCGTTTACCCCTAGTTTTCACGGTAGTTTGATGGGCCCGGAATTTCCCAATAAAACGAAGAAAGAAAATGATATTATAGTTTGTGAATGACCATCCCTTGGTTCACTAAAAGGGCTAGCCAGTAACCACTTCTCTTGCTGGAACGATTTCCCCAAATCGAAAACCTAGCGACAAGCGGCGGCGGCGGCGACGCGCGCGGCAGGGAGGCGCGGCGGAGAAGGGCGGCGGTGTTGCGCGCGGGCAGGGAGGCGCTGGGGAGAGGAGCGGCATCGTCGCGCGCTAGGCGGACAGGCAGGAGGGCGCGGCGCGGCGTGCGCACGCGCAGGGAGGCGCGGCAGCCCCGCGGCCAGTGCGCAGGAGGGCGCGGAGCAGCGGGCGCACGCGCAGGGATCAAAACTTTTGTAATTCAGGGGGAGGAGGACACCTGCAGCTTCGTCTTCCTCCGTCAGTGCCTTCGCTACCGCCTCCTATTCGCAGAGGTGATTTGATCGATTCAGCTTGGAGTTGCATTGAGCCATTGGTTGGGGACGCTGATTTCATCTTCTTGATTGCGAATCGGGGATGGATGTGAATGTGATTTGCGGGTTTGTAGGCTGACTGGGAAGGTCGCCGTCATCACCGGCGGCGCCAGCGGCATCGGCAGGGCGACGGCGGAGGAGTTTATTGTCCCAAATAATGTGTTCTAATCATATGACGGAGATGCTGTACATATTGTCCCAAATAATGTGTTCTGTCATCTTTTTTAAATTGTGTCAAAATTATTGCTAAAATTCTGTCAAAACTATCCTAAATATAGTGTTCTGTCAACTTGTACAAAATTTGTCTAACATTTAGGTCCCATATTAAATACGCACAAATTTAACTTGAAACATGTCCGGTGTTCATGCCAAAATTATAGTAGAGGTATATTTGTCCATTCACTACACATTTAAAACCATTACATGAGGTAACATAGTAGGGGCAAGCAGCTGCTTCATTTAAAAAAGCAGGGGCAATATTACAAACCCTAAAAAAAAAAGGGGTAAAATCACAATTGAACTGTAAAGCGGGGTAAAATCACAATTGAACTGTAAAGCAAGGGTAAGAACACAATTACCCCTAAAATAAATATGATATGAATATTACACATTAGTAGTTTTGTAAAGTTATTGCAAAATTTAAAATTATATTGTTATTTTAATATATTTGAATAATATAATGAGAAAACATATATGCTATTACATGAGAGAAAATATAATGATGCTAACCACGCAATCTGCGCGGGCCACCATGCTAGTTCCTATTTAAAGCACAACTGCATGTTTGTAATATTTGTAGGCATCAAAATTTAAACCCCGATTAGGATGCATCCATAACTCCACACAACACGACTATTGATTCTTCAGTAAATTTCAAGTTTTGCTATAAGGCTAAATCATTGGTGCTTCTGAAAAGTAGATACTACTTCCGTTTTTTTAATAGATGGCGCCGTTGACATTTCTCACATGTTTGACCATTCGTCTTATTCAAAAATTTTATGCAAATATATAAGATATAAATCACACTTAAAGTATTATGAGTGATAAAATAACTCATAACAAAATAAATTATAATTACTTAAATTTTTTGAATAAGACGAATAGTCAAACACGTAAGAAAAAGTCTAACGGCGTCATCTATTAAAAAACGGAGGGAGTATTTGCTACGGTCAAGATTTTTGTTAGCGTATATATGCCACATGATGTTTGACCTAAGACATTACAAGCATTTAGTTCGTTGGGTCACAAAATGGTCAAATGCAAGCTCTAGCAGTACGACACTGTCTGTACCCTGCTCACCTGCTGGCTGCTGCAGTGCTGCTGCTGCTTCATGGAATGTTGGAGCTAGTTTAGTGGTAGTGAGCACCGAGGGGTACAAAATTACTCTCTTGCTTCTTATTACAACGGAGACATAATCACAAAAAATGTGTCTGTATACATATATTCTTGCAATCTTGCGAGCATCGCTCTATACACGCACGACGACCCAAAAGAAAGTGAAAAAGAAAAAACAAACAAAAACAAAACTGATGTACCGTGCGTGTTGTCAGCCAGCTATGAACACTAAGCTCTGCCTGACGGCCGGAACCGAGCAAATGAGCGAACCGAAGATCCCCGTCAGGCCGTAAGCGATGGCGCAGAAGGGCAGCGCTTCAGGCTCCTTGGCCGACAGCGCTGCTGTTCCCAGTCCATGAGCACTGCAACGTAAATGCAAACATTATTCATAGAGCATACTGCTGTATGTATGTATATATATGCAGCTTAACTTACTAAAAAAAGCAGCCAGCAGGTAGGTAAAAGTAAAGAAATTTGCTATCTCGTGGTATACCAAATCATTTTCGATCATTTGATCTAAATCGTTTCCGACCATTGGATCTAGTTATGTAGGATGGACATTGTTAGATCTAACGATCGGAAACGATTTGATACTGTGAACCCGTGAGGTATCGGTATCTCGAAATACTTTTTGTTGGACCGGAACAAATCTCAAAAGTAAAACTCAAAGGTATATATGTACCTGGAAGCCGTCCCTATTCCTCGCGCGATGGGGTCGTTGAGGCCAAGCTTGTCCATGGCTGCTTGCACAAAATTTGCGCCGATCAGCCCGGTGAGGACGACGACCGCAGCGGTTAGCGAAGAATTTACACCTGCATGCCCGGGACACACAAACTAAGTCATCCATACCATATATAATAAGCTAGCTGAGTACTCCATATTATATATCTAGCTGATCGACCAGCAAGAACAGAAATTGATTTCCAGCAATATAAGTATGTACTAGGTCCGTACCTTCAAAGAAAGACACGATGCTCAGAGCCAACGCCACGGTTATGCACCTCGGTAATATTGATATGGTCAGTGAAGGCTCTAGCCCTATCACCCGTCCTAGGATGGCAGTTGAGTATAACGAGAATGTTGATGCGATGGCAATTGATGTGAAAATTTCCGCTGCATGCCTCTTCACAAGCTGAGTTTTACCCACCGCAAAACATTATTAGTTGATTAGCCAACACACACCAGCAACAACAAACACAGAGCCTCAGGATATATATGAATCATCTCACACCATAACCATGCATGCTAACTGAGAATAATTCTGCAGAAACAGCAGCAAGCACTACCTTTCTCTGCTTGAACATTGAGAATGCAAACGATATGATGACTGAACCAAGAAATCCCATCAGGACGTCACCAGCTCCAGGATTAGATGGCGCCTTTGTGAGGTAATCACCTGGCAATTAAAACCAACTTATTTCAGAATTCACAACTTGATTAGAGCACTATTGATCAGGGTTTAGTTTACAACCTAGCACTGCATCAACTCCAGACCGGGAGAGATACCCATATGCTATTGCTGCCAAATCTGCAGAGAGTGCACAACAAATGATTGGGTGAAGCACTTTCTTGACACCAGATGGTATCCTGCCAAGTAATCAATAAGACCCATGTATGTTGTTAGAGAAATGGAGTAAACAAGGCAGCTGGTGGCTTCGTCAGATCTTACAGATTAAGTGTATACAAAAAGCATATGTATTTACCCAGAACCAACCATGTATCCCAGTACAGTTGAAGCGAGGAGGAAAGGAAGACATGTTCTTGCCGTGGTGCCAAGCGCTGTGGGGTTAACATACGCAACAGCAAACGATGCGACAAAGACAGCACCCCAGGCCCAGAATTCCAGCGTCGCGAACGGAGACGGCTTGCTCATCGGCTCAGCTGGTATAAGCTGTGTCTGGACAATCTTCCTCACGGTGAGTGCTGTGTATCCGGCCACCATGAGTGAAGCAAACCAGCCACCAACTGGGAAATGAAAACCAGATAACATCACACCATCGGTTTTTTCAGATTGAATGCAAATTAATCTGAAACCAAGGGCATGTTTAGATCCCACCCTAAAATTTTACACCCTGTCACATCGAACGTTTGAACACTTGCACGAAGTATTAAATATAGGCTAAAAAAATAACTAATTGCACAGATTGCCACTAATTTGCGAGACGAATCTTTTAAGTCTAATTGCTCTATGATTTGATAATGTGGTTTTACAGTAAACATTTGCTAATGACGGATTAATTAGACTTAATAAATTCGTCTCGCAGTTTACTGCCGGATTCTGTAATTAGTTTTTTTTATTAGTATCCAAACACCCTATTACGACACCCTATATAATATCCGATGTGACACGGTAAAACTTTACACCCCTGAATCTAAACACCCTCTAAGTAAAATTGTTGTGATTTATGAATGGGGCCAATCCACAATGCAAGTTGGTGTGGTAATATTTACTGCAAGTTAATTGATCAGCATATCAAATACGAAGTAGTAGAATGTAAAATCCGGAGGAAGCAGAGGCGGAGCAGATAAGCACGATGATCAGGAGGAAGAAAGAAGTAGCAGAATGCATGCAACGATAGGAGCGTAGTGATGTGCATACAAATGATGAGGAAGATCTTGAGGCCGGAAGCAGCCGGGACGTCCCTGACGGCGAGCGGCAGGACGACCAGGGAAGGGACGTAGAAGAGGGGCAGCCACCTCTGGATGAAGAGGGTGGCCGGCTCGAAGAAGTCCATGAACCCCTTGGCGAGCGCGGGCGCGAAGGCGTCGAGGACGACGAGGACGGAGAAGACGCAGAACATGCCGAAGAGGGCGCTGGGGAACTTGATGGACGCCGCCGCGAACGCCTGCTTCAGGAACTTGTCGGAGGCCAGCACGATCCCCAGCGACACCAGCAGGTGCGCGATCCCGACGAGCTATAAAATCCATACATAGCTCACGCATGTCAGTTCGATCGGCAGGTCATGCGAAATCGCGACGAGGCTGCGTGCATTTTGACTGATTGACGACTCACGCTGGGTAGGCCCGAGGGAGAGGTGGCGCCCGCGCCTCCTCCTCCTCCTCCGGCGGCGGCGGCGGCGTGGATCGGGGCGATGAGGCGGTGGCGAGGATTGGCGGGAGCCATGGAGATTGCCGCCGCTTGGCGGGAGGAGGAGGAGGAGGAGGAGGGGTTGCGTCGGCATCGGCGGGGAGGAAGCGTGCGGAGGCGGGGCGGCGACGTGGCGGTGGCGGAGGGCGAAAGGCGGCAGCGATGGCTGCTGCGTAGCGAGGCAATCATGCAGGGGGAGGATGATGATGAGGTCGCTGCCATCTCTTCTCTTCTCTTCTCTTCTTCTCCTTCTCCTTTGGCCAGCGAGAGAGCAGTGGCAGTGACAGTGGATGAGAAGGGAGCTGGGAGCAGTGGCAGAGGCCAGGTGGAAGAGAGGAGGGCGGCAGAGGGATGCAAGTGTGGCCAGAAAATTGGGATGATTTGGGGATTGGGATTGTTGGGCTACCACGCGCCAGCATATCGTCGTTGCTTTTAGGCGTGGGTATTCGATTCGGTTTACACTAGTATGGTCTATGTTTGGTAAAACTTTAACATTGAAGAAAAGTAAACTGAAATTATGATTGGAAAAAATCTATCTATCTATCTATCTATTAAATTAAATTATTAAAACAGCCTTAAAATTAAAGGAGACACCGTATTTATTGTGCAGGCTAAAAATTCCCACATTAATCGAAGAAAAAGAAAAATATCTAAACCATTGGATCATAATAGATCTAGATTTTAGCGGTAAGATTTAATCAGAGTTTCGCAAAGTATATACACAACAATAAAAACCGGACAAAAGGTAATATCAAGTCAGAACCGGTTTAGAAGTTCAAAAGTCGAAAAGGTTTATTACACGTATTCCAATAGCTCTTATGGAATTGGAAGCTTTTACAGACTACTACTCCTGTCACATGACATAAAAATACTACTACGAAACGCTATAATACACGGATTCACATGCAATAGCTTTTCTAGAGATTCCTATGGCCAAAACTTTTACAGCAAAAACTTTTACAGATTACTACTACTATTCACCGAACCGGCTGATTCCTATGCTGATCGGATTCGCATCCAATAAATACCAAGCAATCCCACAGCTAACACTACGAGAGGTGTGTGGCTTTTTGACATTTTATTAGGTCATAATATATGAAGTTGACGTAATTTCAAACGTCAAAAAGCCACCGTCATAAATTTAGTATGTGACGTTTGTACATCTATTGTCACAAGCATATGACATTGCTTTATTATCACAAAATCCTGGGGCTTGCCACGTGGCAGCTGACTTGGCAGTTGACATGGTTGAAAAAAAAAGTCACAAAATAAGATTCGGCTTGCTAAAGCCCATGTAGCTCACGGGCTACAAAATTTTTTTTTCTGGGGTTGTTTCTAGCTGGCCCAGTATATTATTTGCTTCTTTTTAATGAGTGCAGCCTGTACAAATTTTCAGCCCACACCAATTCGGCCCATATGATTTTTCTAGCCCGCACAATTCAGCCCATATGATTTTTTCAACCCCTACAATTTAGCCCATATATTTTTCCAGCCCATATAATTTTTTCAGCCCACACAACTCATCTGATTTTTTCAGCCCATACAATTCAGCCCAGATACAATATTTCAGTACATACAAAATCAGATTCAAATGAATTAACATTCCACAAATGATTGCAATATCAAATGCATTTCACATTTCACAAGTCTTAAAATTCAATATCAGTACATCCATCCACTGGCAGTGAATTGATTGGCCAATATCTGATTGAACATAGAGAGATTTTAATGAACAATTCCGCAGAATATGAAGAATGAGAAGAATTGAAAATACAACTAACTCGTTTGTTTTGAAACAAACCATTCCCTCAAGCTAGCTAGCAACATTGAAAAACTAACACAACTTGCACTGTACTTATGAAGTGCATGCATCGTATCGATCACCAGATTATGCTAAAGAGATCCATCAAGCAAGGATGCATTTAGAAAACATTCAGATTAAAATCAGTTATGATCTGTAGTTCAACTGCTAAAACTTTTATTGAGGTCAACAGGTTACAGGTAGCGAATGACTCAGAACCAACCAATCCAATGGGCCAATCCGTGATGAAAGAAAAGGTGGCAACCGTAGATCTTTATATTAGATGAGGTCTTATACTTGTGTGATACTGGAATATCAGTTCAAGCTATTTTCTGCTAGCTATGTCATAATAAGGTGTGAGATTTGGGTACCTGTTACACTTTTTTTTAATAGCAGCCCAAAATCTTTATATCATCAGCAGATTGATCCTTGTACACATAAGGACCACTTAGGTACCACGAACCTGCAGCTGAATGATAATATTCTTCAACACATCATTGATTTGCTTGCTCAGAAACGGAAGAAAAAGTCAAGGGGGACAACATAAGAGCAATCAGACAACAATATCAAGAAAAACAGTAGTTACCTTTTTGTATTTGTGAAATTTAAAGAACTACTACTATGCTGGACCATGCCAATCAAGGTTGAAAATAGCAAGCCAATATGAAGGCAAAATTAATTAGATTCATGGAATGCAATTTGGTTGCACGCTCCTAGCGCAGAGGTCGGGAACACTGCTTCAAAAAAATGTCTCTAAAGAAAGATGCATCATTTTTTTTAATATATCTGTATTTGGATCCACTCAATCCAAATTTTAAGAGATCCAAACAATTAAATTTAAATTTCTCATTTCGCCAGCATGTATTTTCATGAAAAAATTACATATGTAATTTAGGGATATACATATGTAATTTTTATGACTTATATTATAAATACATTAAAATTATATATATAATTTAGAGACTTACATGTGTAATTTTAGAACTTATATTGTAAATATACTAAAATTACATTTGTAACTACCACGTAACTACATTGTAATTATAGTGTAATTACATTTATAACTACCATGTAACTACCACGTAACTATAGTGTAATTACATTTGTAACTACCACGTAACTACAATTTAGCTACATAGTAATTACATTTGTAACTACGATGTAAGTACCACGTAACTATAGTGTAATTACATTTGTAACTTTAACATGATATATATTTTACTAATAGACTGGTGCATTATGAAATATTTTGCAACCCATATGTGTATTATTGGGTTCGTTCATATGGAGGTCCATTAGATAGTTACTATAGTTGTTTATTAATATACGTTGGATTCTAATCTAATGATCGATAAATCCGTGTGATATGGGCTGTGAAATCTGTCGAAAGACAGCTAGCTAGTCCCATCTCTAGCACTACGAAATACTTTCCCCACTACAATTACAATAATGGATAATAATATATATCTCCGTCTAAAAAAAGATAAACCCTGGTTTCCGTGCCAAACACTTGACCGTCCGTCTTATTTGGAAAAATTATGAAAAAAATTTAAAAAGACAAGTCACGCATAAAATATTAAACATGTTTTATCATCTAACATAAATAAAAATACGAATTATAAAAAAATTTCATACAGTCAAAGTTGTACACGAAAAATGGAGTACTTCCGTACTACTCCCTCCGTCCCATAATATAAGGAATTTTAAGTTTTTAATTGCAGCGTTTGACCACTCGTTTTATTCAATTTTTTTTTTGCAAATATAAAAAACGAAAAGTTGTGCTTAAAATAATGTAGATAATAAAGTAAGTCATAAATAAAATAAATAATAATTTTAAAAAAATTTAAATAAAACGAGTGGTCAAACGTTACAAATAAAAACTCAAAATCCCTATTATGAGAAGGAGGGAGTAATATAAAAATGAGTTGCACGGGAATCCCTAACGAGCGACTGGTCGCGCGACCAGTCCGCTCCTACTACAGCTGCTGCTACTGCTCTTCTACTAGTAGTACTACTACTCCTACTCCTGCTGCTGCTGCTACTCTGCTCCTGCTACTGCTACTGGCGCGCGCTGCTGCTGCTGCTACTACAGTAGTAGTACTACTACAACAATACTACTACGATGTGTATAGTGTGTATATACGTATGTATATACTTTATATACACTTTGTATACACATATATATAAACTTTATATTAATAAAATACAAAGTTTATATATGTGTATACAAAGTATATATATACGTATATAAAAAAATTATGTGTACTAAAAAAATACTTTACATACGCGTATACAAACTTTGCATACGAATATATAAACTTTACATACACGTATACAAACTTTGTATGTATATATTAAAAACCGAGAAAAAAACACGAATACATACTTTGTATGTGTACAAATACAAAATTTAGTATACATACGAATATAAACTTTGCATATGTACATCTTAAGAAAACCGGAAAAGGAAGAGAAAAAAACCGGAAAACCAAAACACAAAACAGAAAGAGAACCGAAAAAAGGGAAGAGAAACAAAAAAAAACCAAAACAGAAAGAGAACCCAAAAAAACGGAAGAGAAACAAAAAAAACCAAAACAGAAAAACCGAAAAAAAAAGACTCACGCGCGGGCGCCGTTCGCCGCCTCCTTCGCGTGCGACACGTGTCCAGTTGTGCAGGGGAGGGCGCGCGCGACTGGTCGCCGATTAGCTTTTTCGAAGTTGCACCCCTCCAATCCTAAAGGTGAAATCACCCCATCTCATCTCATTCGTCCATCTGCCATCACATCTAATCTCATCAGGTCCGGGCGCCCTAGTGGTTCGAGAATTTTTTTTAAAAGTAATATGATTTTAATGGAAAATCGCAAAACTATAGGTCAGTTAGGCGAAATCGCAAGTTTAGCACCCTATCGAACAACCGTGGTTCGACAAGGTACCTATCGAACAACCACAGTTCGATAGGGGTACCTGTCGAACTGCGGTAGTTCGACAGGTGATTAAAATAATTAAAAAAAAGAGAAAAATCACTGTTGCACACTGTTCACAATACCCTATCGAACTAAGGCAGTTCGATATGTGCCTGCGAGCACTGTAGCATCACTGTAGCACGCTGTTCACGCAACCCTATCGAACTTTGGCTGTTCGATATGTCCCTGACTAGCATTGTAGTGATACTGTTCATGTAATTTTTTATTTGTTTTTGGACCACCTACCCTGTCGAACTCACGTAGTTCGACATGTACCTGTCGAACTGTGGTTGTTCGATAGGTATCCCTGTCGAACCGCGGTTGTTCGACAGGGTGCTAAACTTGCGATTTTGCCTAACTGACCTATAGTTTTGCGATTTTCCATTAAAATCATATTGCTTTTAAAAAAAATTCGTGGTTCGACGACCCTATCCTCCCCACCGCTCGCACTCCTGTCGCGATGACTCCGCCTTTGCCCCCGCGCGCTGCGATGACTCCGCCTCCTCCCGTCCCCACGCGATGACTACGCCCCCAAGCGCTACTCGCTCCCTCCTCCCATCCCCGCGCTACACCTCGCTCCGCGCTTCCTCGCTTCTTCCCGTCGTCGCGACCATGGTCTGCCCCCACCGGCACCGGGGTGGTTCCCCCTTTCCACTGGAGCCCTGCCTGGACTACCCCGACGGCGCCGGGGTGGTATGCCCTTTCCCTGGACTAGCTGCGGCACACGCCATTCTGGTCTGCGACTCTCCTCCTCTGAAGTCACTTTGATCCCCTTCACAAGCCTGAGCAACCCATGTGAAGGACGACGCCTCCGGCTACATCGCCTCCAAGCCGTCGACTGCGGCCGGTATACTGGAGGTGATGAGGAGACCAGAGGATAGGTTTGTGGTGATTTCTTCCCAGGTGAAAAAGAAGAATCCCCTTTATATATACTCCATTAGGTTTGGTTTGCTTCCATTACTGGCGCACCGAGACATGATATTTTGATTTTCTCAAGCACCTACTTTTGGTTCGACTGGATGAGGCAATTAGCCAAACAATAGCAGTGGTAGGGATGCAAGCCATGATAGCCATGGAGGCAAGCCTATACCTCTCTGTCTCTTTTATATCATTATATATTTGTCTGATAGAGTGTACGTTAGATTCATCTACAACTCGCACATAGGGGGAATCATTTGATCTCCGTGTTGATAATTTTGTTTTATTTGACTCTATTGTTGAGATGTATTAGGCCATGGTAGGATTATTGTATATAAAATATGTAGTAATCCATGGTCAACTCTAGGTCCGCAACTTATTTTTATGCGTGACAAACACAGGAATTTCTCTGGCTTTTCTGATCCGAATATCTTAAGGATATCAAGGCATGAAACTTTATCTCGATAAATTTCTTGGTTGGTGTGTATGTTAGTAATCATCGTACTTTACATGTGAAAGTACCAACATTCAGGTTCGTTCAAAATAAGAAAATGCTAATTTCACCATGAATCAGAAAATTAATGTTTGGTATTTGTTTGTTAATGGCTATGTAGGTTTAGTGGACTAATGGTATTTCTATTAGAATTATTCAGAAGAGTAAATTTCTTGGTGGTAAATTCAGGCTAATTGCAATGTACTGCTTTCTAACCTCTAATAATAATTTTTCCCAGTTCCGCCTCAACTGTTGCATATTTACTTACTTAGCTTCTTATCCTGAATGGATGTTTTGGTTTTTAGGGAGCAGCATTTGATCCTCCTACAATTGGATCTTCAAAAACAATTGTTAGGAGAGTACATACCCAGACCTTTCTCAGCTTTGTAATGGTCTAAATACTAAATTTGTTGTTTTTTGGTTCCTCTGTTTCATATTGCAGGCTATTTCATTGCTGCAGCCCACTACTCTTCTAGCTCTGCCGACAACCACACCTACAAGAGCTACAACTGAAGCATCACATAGGGCAGATGAGGCATCACATGTCTGGCTTGGATTCAATTTGATGTTGCACTTTGTATAACTATATGCAGTTTCAGTTTCATCTTCTGTTTCTACCACCTTGCAATGTGAGTAAATCAATGTTATATTAACTTGAACCGAAATTTTGATGTTACAGAAATTAAATAAATCTCATCTACTATAAAGATTTTTAGTGGCCATGTTTAATGAAATCATGAGGTAAGTACATATTCATGTTTTTTTAGAAAACTAGAGCTTCACATAGACAGATACCTAATTTGTTGTCACTGGTAAGCATGTTGTCGTTAGAGGATTTTACAGTTTTCTGAAGTTTGTAATTAATTCGGTTCCTTTTTAATGGGTTTCTCATTGAAATCGAGAGGGAAAGAACCAAACAAGCAAACAATTGAAATTAAAAGTAAGCTTGTTTTCTGCTTCACTTCATCTTTTATATTTCTATGGTAAAATCCAGCCATGTAGATAAGTAAGAAAACATATATATGAACATGTATTTTCTATTTCTACAGTTGACCTAAAAAGTAAGCTTCTTTTCTATTTATACAGTAAAATTTGGCAATGACAGATCATGAAGATAACATATGAATATGCCATTTCGTACCAAAATTTGGATATAATCTGGAACCGGCGATTCACATGGCTGTATAGCAAATCACTGTTTTATAACAAATCCAATATGAACTAACTTCCAACAGTGGGAATACTTACAGAGGAGAATAGAGAAGTGATGCCTTGTACTAGAATTGTCAAACAATAATAGCCGGCAACGATTTAAGTGTAAACTTCTTAATAGTCATGGCATTTCAGCTACAGTAGGGAATATTTAGACACAGGCATTGGCTATTTAATTATCTTTTGGCCTTGATTTGGCATATTGATGAGAATTCTTTATTTTGTTTTATGGTGGCACTCTTGAATCATTATGTATAGATATTGAGCTTGCATATACAGGGACTAGGAGGATTCTACATTATAGGGAACCATCTTTGCCAGGTGTTCAACAAGTTTAGTGATAGGACCCTATATGGCTTACATATATTCAAAGACATTATAGTGAACCATCTTTGGATAGGGCTTCGCGTGAAGTTTGTGTCATATGGTGTACTGATGCACAAGAGTGTCTTGCATTTGCAATTCTATACCATAATCGTGCTCCACGACATAGCCGTTCATTCTGATTACTTTCAATGGATAATGTACGAAGCCCTACAATGCAAAATTGTGCCACGACAGGTACTATTATTTTTTGTCTGACATTTGATTTGTTTGCTACCTTTATTTTACTTGCAGAAAATTTTTATTGGCCTATAGAAATACTCAACTGTAGTGTGTGTATTAAAAAGTGATTTTACGAGACTTGTTGCTGGGCAGCTGACTCTCATTTTTCATTTCTGACCATACCCTCTTCATGCCTTACTTGCTGCTCTTTATTTTGTTGGGTTAGGACTACTGCTTGACGTTCCTAATATGACTGCCACTTATCTATATCTTTTGTTGTCTAAAAATTGATAACCTTTTGAAGGCTAAGAAAGAGCTCAATACATCTGTGTTTTCATTCCACTGAATGATGCTATTCTATAAGACAAGTTATGGTCTCTAACTGGCTCCCTGATTTTAACAGTTAAACCCTCTCGATAGGTATTCCAAATCTCTCTGTACATATCGAGTATATGATTATAGCGCTACCAAATATTGGCCCATCCCCATCATCACTTGATCAGGCAGAAGCTAGCTGTCGAGCTCTCCATAAGGGTACAAATCTAATATATCCTGTTGATCATGTATTTGCCTCAGATTGAACCTTTCAGTAGGTGTAGAAGTTAGAGTACCATTGACCACATGTCATGTTTTTTACTGTTTTTTCGTTTGTATTGTATAGATTATGCGAATTGAAAGCAGATGCAGAATGTTTTACATAGGTAACTATGTGCTTTGCTATTAATATGGTCTGTCAGTCTGAAGATTAAATCAATTGAGATGGATCAACTAATGGCCTTGTTGCCTGTTTTTAAGTTGTATATTACACGGACATGGATGGTTTCAGTTCAACACAGAAGTAATTGATAAATGGAGCTTCGATTTTTCTATTATAAACAGTGCATGTCATGGCTTCTTTTTTCTGTTGATGTACTTTTGGCTTTAGTAAAACCTGCACCTATTGACTGATGGTAATTTGATATCTGCAATAACTGCATCTTGCCGTTCCAGAAAATTGTGCCAAACTAGGTCTCTGTAGCTTTCTCTTGGCCCATGTTTGCCTCTTTTTGTTGACGTTACGTCGCAGTTATTATATGAATTGGTTGATTGAGTAAAGATTTTTTTTAGATAATGATTGAGTAAAGATGTTATATACTTTTAATGGTTTGTTATTCAGCACAGATAGTTGTATATTTTTATTGCCTTAAGAGGGAATACCAATAGATAGAAATTGCAGCAAAGAGTCCTTGCAAAGATATGGCTCTTACTAGATGATAGGTATGTTTTATGGTGGGCTGTTGTTTTCAGATGTTACAATTTGCATACATGAATGTCGAAGAGTCACTTTGCTGATGAATAAATGGAGAAGAAATAGTGAGTTTAGAATTGATTCTTTTGTTTTACCGAATTGTATTTTGTGAACTGTTTATGACAAGATAATGAAAATGGTCACGGACAAAGATGAAAGTAATGAATTCTGTACTCCTATGTCCACATCCAAGCTCTGATCTATAATTGTTGGCTTCCAAAAAGTAGCAACATCGCAATGTATAAATTGTGCTTAGCAATTTTGTACCCTCTAAATATTTTTATCTTTGTTGGTCAGAAAGTAGTGATTCAACAGAGTGGTTTTATAGAGATAACCATTCAGATTATGGAGTGCATTACATTAAAAAAGATTGCATAGATTTTTCTTCATTTGTTAATTCTATTGTCAAAACATCTGCACGATAACTAGTGCACTGAATGTCTTGTCGTCTTTGCATGTTGCGTGTTACATCGTGAAAGCAAAGCTTGAATAATACTAGTAATCGTGCAAGTGCAAGGCACGTCATGCAAATATAAATTAACTTGAGATTAGCATATCACCGATATTACAACAACAATAAGTTTATTAAATTTAAAGTATACGATTCATTTCACATCAAATAAAGAATAAATAAACTTATATTCAAGCCATGTTTCATTGAAATACAAAAGCATAAGATAAAATAATACAAGGTCCTCCTTGTATGAATTAAGGATTAGACAGAAAAAAAAACCTCAGGGTTCAAGAGAATGTGGAAAACGGAGATAAAAGACACTTTGATCATCCGATGCTACTGGTCATAAAAAAATTGTGCTTACATTTGTATAAGAAATGGTCACTTATATGTGAATGTGTGATCCTCAACTTCTCCTAGAAGTTTTAAATAAAGTAGAGTTGCAGATATATATTATGATCCTTTGAACCTGACAAAACAGCATAGCATGGTCAATCAGCTTTGTTAGAAAATACAAAAACCCTGCAATATTTCTAGAAAAAGAACAGCTAACTTGTAACTCCAAGTAGCATATATTGCAACCTGCTCTTAGAATAGCTTTCTTTTTTTAAAAAAAAACTTACACTTAATGATACTTAGCCAATGTAATCCCAAGCTTACTGGCAGTGAATCGCTAGGCCAATATCTGATTGAACATAGAGAGATTTTAACGAACAATTCCGCAGAATATGAAGAATGAGAAGAATTGAAGATACAACTAACTCGTTTGTTTTGAAACAAACCATTCCCTCAAGCTAGCTAGCAACATTGAAAAACTAACACAACTTGCACTGTACTTATGAAGTGCATGCATCGTATCGATCACCAGATTATGCTAAAGAGATCCATCAAGCAAGGATGCATTTAGAAAACATTCAGATTAAAATCAGTTATGATCTGTAGTTCAACTGCTAAAACTTTTATTGAGGTCAACAGGTTACAGGTAGCGAATAACTCAGAACCAATCCAATGGGCCAATCCGTGATAAAAGAAAAGGTGGCAACAGTAGATCTTTATATTAGATGAGGTCTTATACTTGTGTGATACTGGAATATCAATTCAAGCTATTTTCTGCTAGCTATGTCATAATAAGGTGTGAGATTTGGGTACCTGCTACACTTTTTTTTAATAGTAGCCCAAAATCTTTATATCATCAGCAGATTGATCCTTGTACACATAAGGACCACTTAGGTACCACGAACCTGCAGCACAATGATAATATTCTTCAACACATCATTGATTTGCTTGATCAGGGATGTAAGAAAAATTCAAGGGGGACAACATAAGAGCAATCAGACAACAATATCAAGAAAAACAGTAGTTACCTTTTTGTATTTGTGAAATTTAAAGAACTACTACTATGCCGGACCATGCCAATCAAGGTTGAAAATAACAAGCCAATATGAAGGCAAAATTAATTAGATTCATGGAATGCAATTCGGTTGCACGCTCCTAGCACGGAGGTCGGGAACACAACACACCTTGTGCTTCAATAAAATGTCTCTAAAGAAAGATGCATCATTTCTTTTAATATATCTGTCTTTGGATCCACTCAAACCAAATTTTAAGAGATTGGTCCTTGGGCAGGTTCATTGTGAGGCAATCTAAGCCTTGGTAATGAAAAGATAAACACTCAAATTCCTGGACCAGAGAAATGGATCAATTTTCATAGTCAGAATTAGAATTGTTCCATGCCAAGTTTAGTTCATCTAATAGGTACTACTCAAATATAGGTCTTTGCCCTTGCTTGACCAGTGAACCGTTATCTTATAAAATAGTAAAAACTAAAAGTAAAGAAATAATTGCACGTATGGATATTACCTTCATGTTGTGCTTACGGAGTATATGAAATTAGATACATCAACTAGAGACCAATCAATGCTAAATAAAAGAACAAAATCTCCTCGACCAACATCCTGGATAGATATGGAGACATGTTGATCATCTATATTAAGGAGTTCATGTGGTCCTGCTCCTCTGCCTCTGTCTGAAGTTTGGGTAGCCTGAAACAATGGAATTGTTAAAACTAAACACTAGACAGTCTAATTAGTTGACTAACAGTTGTCGTACTGATTAGTTCGCCAATTCCCCTTGACCTTTGTCAAATGCACCTTCATATGCACAACAATTTACTCACATAGAAATTCCATTGAATATCTTGCAAATGAATGAAATTGTGAATCTAACACTACAGCTAATGATTTCTAGAGGAAAAGCATACTCACTGAATAAACGAACCCTTTTTTTTCTTGAGAGCAAGCATAATGTACCTTGTTTGTGTGGATATGTTGTTTAACCAAAAGGAGCTCCAAGACACCATTGTCTAGAGCCTCCATATTATCTAGAGCACTATAAACAAAATATGCTAGCTGTGTACTGTTTAGCAGTCCCAAGTCACATAAACCAAGCTACTAGGAATAAATCATAATTGAGCTTAATCATTGATTTTCTACTTTTGTGGAGTATGGAACAAAACTACAAATAAATAACAAAACCATTCCTTGATATGTCTATATGTACATATCACGAAACATAATGTATATACATGAATATTCACCAAATGAAGTCATATCCACGCTGTTTTGTGTAGTGAGCTTAATCAAGTAGCTCTTGGGGATTAGCACCGGATCAATAGGGCATGTTGAACTGTTAGTCGATACAGTAGTTAGATGCACACAAACCACCACATGACCACTCACGGGTGAAACATAATAAAGAACCTTAGGATTATACCTGACCGTTTAGGTTCCTATTCTTCTTGACCTGGCGAAGAAATATTTCAGCTCCTGCACTTTTCTATTGCAGCATGTACGGAGATAAATCAAATTGATTGCTGCATATAATTTATTATAGAATTTGTCATGTTAATTCAGAGTGCAAGGGAAACAATACCTTAGAGGTAAGCACTGTCACCGTCTGAAGTAGCTAGAAGGCTCTCAGAATACATGATCGTGTTGTAGTGTCTAGAGATTATTTCGGGTAAACACTCTACATAATCTTTCTACAAGCCTTTGCATTAGCATTGGACATGTATCTTTTTCTAATTACTCTGATTTCTAATCCTTTAACCAAAGTCTCCCATGTGTATAGCATAGTTCAGTTAATCAGTTGGTGCAAATAACATGGAGCCATCACAATTTCGTCATCAGTTGGTTGCAAACTGTAATGCCTGAAAAAAGATTGACCAAGAACATTAACAACAATATTTAGCTTCTGACAAAGTTTTCTCTCCACACAGCAAGTGTAACAACAGCAGGAAAAAAGTAATTTTCTTAATAAAACTCGCAGGAATATCAAGCGACGGAGGGTGCGCAGGTGTTGGCGGACAGGACGACACAACCGGCGTTGGGGCAGTGGAGGAGGATCTGACGACGACGGCTGCATGGCAGCGACGGTGGCCGTCGCGAGATTGATGGCAGCGCGGAGAGAGGATATCGGCGAGGCGAAGGACGACGCGGTGGGTGATGGGGAGGCGGACGCGGCGGCGGTGGACAGGACGGCGCGACATGTGTTAGGGATCGAGAGCTGGACCACCGTTGCCGAGTTCACCCCGTCGGCGGATCTGACGACGACTGTTGAGCCGGCGAAGGGGACTCGGGGATGGTGACCGCCGCGGGATTGATGGTGGCGCTGAGAGAGGAGATCGGCGAGGCAATGGCGGGCAATGGCGGGTGATGGGGAGGAGGAGGACGCGACGGCGGTGGGTGAGGAGGAGGACAACGCGGAGGCGGTGTGGAGGAGGCAATGCAGCAGCGGTGAGTGTGAAGGAGGACGACGCGGAGGCGATGGGGAGGAGGCGATGCAGTGGCGGTGGGTGGGGAGGAGGAGGACACGGCGACGGTGGCAGGTCAGGGAGATTCGGCGGCGCGGGGGTGTGGCAGGAAGGGGTTCGAGAGCGGTAGTAGCGAGTACCGCGGGCGAAGTCTTCGTGCGGTGATGGGAGCGAAAATCACGGTGGAGATAGGATGGAGTTGCGGAAATACTTCCCATCTAGCGTCCGATCACGGCGAAACTTCGGACGCCTCATCATTTCCTCCCCCATTTGAATCACCTTTTTAATGTTACATGCTAATACCTCCTCATCTCTTTATCATGTTAGAAACTCAGGATGCAACTTTTGTGCAAGTATATATGCATACGTAAGTTGAATGTAATCTTTAAAATCATTTTTCTCCAAAACTACTCATTCAGTCTATGATCCGTTTATTTCAGTGTATTCGTTTCAATTAAATCTTTACAATAAAGATCCCGCCTTGGTCGCCCGGGGGAGGGGGAGAAAATCAGGCGCTCCCCCCGCCCCCACCACGTGCGCACATGCTCCCCCTGGGACCCACCACGTCTCCCCGGTCACACTGCCACGTGTCTCCACCACATACTCCATTACAACAAATCACCCACATATTTTGAAAACCCTATATTAAGGGAATTCGTTTCATTTTTTGTTCAAAAAAATGTTTCACTATGTATAGATCTAATGTTGAAGTGAATTGAAACATTCTTTTGCAACAAATTACCCACATATTTTAGAAACCCTCTATTAAGAGAATTTATTTTATTTTTTTGTTCTACCAAAAATGTTTCACCTAGTGTATTTATAGTGTTTCACTATGTATATATCAAATGTTGCCGTGAACTGGAACATTATTTCGTTATTTGCTGAAACATTGTTTTTATATAAGGTGAAACAAAGCCTGATTTAAACGATTGAAACATTTTCGATCTATTCAGTGAAACAATTCCAATATACCTGGTGGAACATCGTGCAACATTTAAAAATAATTCAATAATTAGCTAAAAAAATTTCGTCAGAATATATTCATGTGTGGTCTTGTTTTGAAGATTTAATTGCAACGAATTTAATAGTGTAATCGGATCATAATTTGTATACATAATTTAAGAGAAAAAATAGATTAAAGTGTTTTTGCACATATCAGTGCATGTGTCAGAAATATAACATAACAAGCGTCCGTTTTTCTGTTATCCATCGGACGTATGAAGTGTAGTGGTCTCCATGGAGTTGCTGTGCGAGGGTGAATCGCAGTGGACGGTAGGGATGAGAGCTATGCGGATGAGGATGCAGATGATGATAGGACCAACATGTTGATTTAGCCTGCAGCATTGCAAGGAGATAACTCCCCCTTTTTATATTAGTATAGATATAGATATCTACCTCTATATATCAATGGTAGAAAAAGAAAGCAAATAATTTGCTTAAAGGACAAGAAGATTAATTGAAATTTGAAATAAAATATAAAATGAATTCCAAAATAGAAAAATAATTATAAAAGTTCAAGTAGGAATACAACAAGATATCGGAATAAAAAATATGGATTTTTTTTAAAAATAGTACATCTAGAACATAAAGATGACACATGACAATAAATAGGGGAGAAGCAACAAACCTATAAAGGACCAGAGTGGTGGCGGTTGATTGAACATCTAAAAGCTATAAACAAAACCCCAAATAGAATCCGACGATTAAGAAAAGAGACGATGGGTAAACCATTAAGTAGCACTGTCATGACAGTTGGCCGGACATTTAGAAAGCAAAAGAAAAAAAAAACCAATGATAATTATGTTCGATTTTAAAATTTCAATGACAATAAAGAGGGGAGGCAACGAGTAGGTTGTAGAGTAGTATAGTGGTGGAGCCGCCGACGGTTGGCGGGACTTCTAGGAAGTAAAAAATGAACCCAACAATAATTATATTCGATTTTGAAAATCCCAATGATAAAGAGGGGAGGCAGCGGGCAGGCCGTAGACGAGTACAATAGCGACATTTGACGGACTTCTAAAAGTTATAAAAAGAAACCCAATGAGACAATTAACTCTAAAAACCTAATTTTGAAATATTCCAACAAGAATAAATAGAAGTTGCGGTAGATCAAGCAAGCAAATTAATAAAGGGATGGCAAAGGAATAAGTAGTGGACTGGTGTGACTTTTCAAAGCAACAAAAATAAAAAGTTCTGTAAAAAATATATAATTTTATATTGGTGCTAGCCACGCAACTGCGCGGGCCACCCAGCTAGTTACTTTAACAAAAACTACGAAGGGGAAAAAAATATAAAACCCAAGCCGAAAACCCCCAACTACAGTAAAGTTTTTAGTTTAAACCGAAGCACCGGTGAATCACCTTCTCCATGCCTGGGCAGTGGGCAACGAGAAGACCACATCCATGGTCGCGTCGTCCGCGAGCCATCGACTTCTCGGCTTCAACTCTCAAGGGAGCGCAGCGGCCGTTGGCTTCCCGCGCCACCACGGTCAGATGCCGAACCACTCCGCCATCCACTGCATCTTTCAAGTTTCACCGCTCTTCCGCCGCCAGGCGCCAACCGGCCTCCGTTCACCAGCGCCAGCACGGCCCGGCGGGCCCCAGTCCATCGCCCTCCGTTCGTGTGAGTCCGCATCTCCGCCAGGATGGCACGTGGCTGTGTGCATCGTCGCCTCGTCGGCTGGCAAAGTGGCGATTCGATAGCTGGGTCCTGGGTGGGTGTGGTCGTGGGATAGAATAAGTCTACTTTGCCTCTCTCGTCTCTTACCCTCGATCGAATCATCTCTCTAACCATAAAACCGGGTATAACACCTTCCACATCAATCAAAACCGGTGCAAATCGACTCCTTCGACGGTGGGGGTGTGGGGATAGGCTTGCGTCTGAGTGCTGACTGGAGGAGGAGCATCAACGAGCTCGATATCCAACAATGAGGACAGTTGTTCCTGCATCTATCGACGGCCAGAAATGATGGGATGCGGCAGAGGAGGCAAGAAGGTGGCGAAGAAGAGGCGCAAGAAGCGAATGATGGGGTACCAGACTTGACTAGGAAGACGAAGGCTGACGAGAGTACACCTGACTTGACAATGATGGTATGGCTTTGCTTGGATGTCACCCATTTATAGAGAGATGGTAGATAAAAGGTGTGGACACCCCGAGTATTATACCATCCAGTGTCCAACGCGACCACCACATACTATTGGAGAAGTGGGATCCATACACGCATAAATAGCCACTCGTCCTCAATGTGTCCATGATCGCGGTTGACAACCTTCTATTATAATAAACGAAATGTCGAGTAGTGAGCGCAAGACATAACCGTAAGATAGCTTGCCAGTCCACCACGTCATATGCCCGTCAACCACTCGAAGGTGGCGACCAAAAGCATACCCCAGTGACTCGATCCAAAGCGCTATCCCCAATTATCTCAAGCGATCAAAACCCGTTACTCGTGCTTAGCTAGTCCCTAGGAATGCGACTAGTCTCACACTTTCATCGCAAGCAATTAATAAACATAGCAAGTACCATAATAGGGTTAAAGTGCAGCGAGGTATATGACACATAATAGGGTCCGAGGTCTCAACATACAACACATAAATATAGCAGCGGAAGTCTCAAATAGAGTTCATAAGCAAAAGATAAAACCGGTGGTGCCACAACTCCACTAGGGCAAACCAACCGAGCAAGAGCCAAGCTGCAAGAGATCACTCATTGCCCTCGCCGCCCTCGGCAGAGCAATGACCACACAAGAAGCATAACTCATAACCGGAATCCTCTCCTAAAATTGCAGACACCGGTTAAGTACAAGATTGTACTCGCAAGTCTTACCCAAAATTATATATACATAAGGGAGAGAGAAATATGCAAGCTTTCTAGCCTACAGTGGGTCTCTAGGTTCAACATTTGCATAAAGCTAATTTTATTGAGCAATTAATGAGTAAAATAAGCAAGGATAAGTAAATCTAGCATCATTTTAATTTATGGACAGCAAGTATATAATTCTGAAATGTATAAGCAAATGAGCCCAAACGGCGCTCTCATCATCATCCATGGACTACCAAAGTCCATACCAACATGGCACAACATGCCAACACCACCATCAAGCATAATCACATCCATAATAATCCACATTTGATGCTAACATAACTAGCTAACACATCAAGCATTGTCCATAACCGAGGACGCGGCTATTCGAATAGATTATACTTTGATCAGAGGTGTACAATTGGACCCACACGAAATGAACAAAGATCAAATGCTACACACCCCGTCAAGTGCGGTACACAAGTGATTCAAGCTCATTAAATGCCCTTTCTTAGCCCCACCCCAACCACCTATACCACGCTGGGGTTCCCGACGACTCAGTCACGTGCGTGCGTGATGTGACCAAGGTGGGCGCGCCACGCAGGAGGCACCCCCGGCCAAACCTAGGCACCCGAGGCCCTCCAAAGGCTACCTGCCTCACAACTCTCCAATGTGGTATAAATGATCACAGTAGAACTAGTAAGAACAAGCCGGTCCCAAATAAGACATGTGGTAAGTACGAAGGGTGCTTGAATAGATGTCAAAATGTTCGGTCCTTAACGACCTAGACGGGGCTACTTGCATCAGGGGAAACCAACCTCCCATCATCGCCCTATCACCCGTCCAAGTCCAACATATTTCATCAACCATTATTTAGTGTAAGTGCTCAAGTTTTATGCCCAATAATGCAAGTTGTTTATATACCACAATTAATAGCACTGTCCATCCCTATAGTTCTATTAGCACTAAGCATGGCTAAGCATTAATGAATAAGAAATCCCAAGTAATCCCAACAAGTGGTAATAGGATATAAGGACAGCAATAACACAAGAACTAAATGCATAAATAGGTTCTACCCATACACCATAAACTGACAATATTAATATCTAGGCAATGCATGCATATATATACGTATAGATTGCAACCAAATCATTTTTAGAGAAAGTATAGGTTCTATATGCTTAGGTGCTTGCCTTGCTGCTGAGGGTAGTCACTATCCTCCTCGGGATATGGCTCGTTACTCTCCGGAATCTCCGAATCTATCGAAAAGAAGCAATATGCGAATAAGAGCCAAATAAACATGCACATGCAAAATGATCAATAAATTATGAAATAAATACAGTGGGTAGATCATATTTTAACTTGAATTTAGGTGAAAGAATCACCAGATTATCACTTATGGTTTGGGAGATATGAAAATGACAAGCTCTTAGGTGCTGAAAATGGCAGTTCTGTAAATATTAACGTTTCCTTTAGTACATTACAAGTAAAATGCATTTCAAACCAAGATTTCATAATAATGATTATTTTTAGAGTAAATTACATCACTCACAGCTCCTATGAAAAATTATTTCACAGCTATATGTGTTGTCATTATTTATTTATAGATCTTACAAGTTAGAAACATAGGAATGCTAAATAAACTCCTAAACATGATTTAAGAGGTAGTTTTTCCAAAAACAACACCACAACAGCAAAGAGTACTAAAATATAAGCTCAACAAAATTGGTTTCATAATTTTAGCTTTTACCAATAATTTCTTACGAATTTCATAAGAGCTAGACCACACAAGGGATACATATAGCTATTTATATTTTTACTGGGAAAACCAGTACAAATGTTGGTCATTTTTATTTTACAACATTGAAGATCACGTTTTTCTTAATCCACAGAAATTTGGTTCACTGAATTCGGAGTTCATATGAACTAGTTATGAATTTTTAAAGCGCAAACCTCTTTCAGCTCAAAAGCTATCTCAGAAATCGATTTCTATTTTCGCTCCCCCTTTTCTCCAAATTCCACCAGACTTCGCTCACATGGTAGCAACCTGGACGTAGGGTCATGAGGCTAAGGCCTCGGGCTGATGGCAAGAGACGGAGCAAGGCCTCGGGCTGACGGTAAGAGACGTTGCCTAGGGCTGCTTCAACCGAAATCAAAAGAGATTAACACCGGATGAGCTGCAGCCACCTCCTAGCTGCAATAATGGAGATGGATGACCTGTTGAATGTTGCTGTAGATGTTCAACATGAAGGGAAATAAAAAAAAAGGCACCATGGATGGCAAGGAAGCTCACCAAATAGAGGGAAACAAAGTCATGTTGCTGCTGCAACCATGCAGGCTGAAACCACCACTCTCTTCTCCTATTTCAATCTCTCTCAACTCTCCATGCATGTGCAAGATGTTGGGATGGATGGAAAGCTTGGATGATGGGGATTGTTGTGATCTAACATGCATGAATTGATCTTGGGCTATTGGATGGGATTTGGGGAGGAGAAGTGAGATGAGAGCTCAGCTTGAGGAAAAAAAAGAAAGAACAAGCAGTGAAGATGAAAGGGGAGGAAGAAGAAGGGGTTATCTCTGCCCCCCCCCTTAAGTCCTGAGGTGGAAGCACGCCCATGGGTGTGTTGTGGGGCTAAAGAGGCACCCAAGGTCAGTGACAAGTGGGCCCAAGTCGTGGCTGTTAATGAGGGTGAGAGAGGTAGGTGAAAAACTGAGTACATATTCGTTTTTGCAATTTCCAGGATTTATTTTCTTTCCCTCTCTTGGTAAATTCAATTTGACTAGGTAAAACTAGTTCAAAAATTAAGGGATTTGTTGTGGTGATAGGTGTTGGTTTCTAGGTTCCATTTTTCAAAGTTTCACTCAAAAATTCGAAATATTTTAATTCTGGTGAAAAGATGAAATTGGTTAGGCTGAAAGTTGGTTTGAATTCTTAGGAGGCCTAAACAGAGAGTAAAAATTCCACAAAATTTATATTTGTTGGTGATAAATAAACTAGTATTTGAATAAATTATTACACATGTAACTTCTGTTCAAGTTATTGTTCAAATAGAAGTGGTTTCAATTTTACCGATTAGAATTAATTTTGTTATCGCCAATGATCAAATTGCAATATAGTAAATATGAAATCTAAACGACAACAAATGCACTTCTAAATACCTGGTTATGAATGTAGGGCTGTTACAAAAGGAATAGAGGAGAGAGGTGGAGGAATGGGGGACAAATATGGCAGCTATTTTAAAAAAGTTGAAGTACTGACTATGATGTCACGTAGATACAAGTGGGCCAAGTCAATGCGTCACGTTAGACGAGACTGTTGTGCTAACTACTAAATGAGGTAAACTGACCGTTTTGATAGTTGAGTGATGACGCTTTCTCTCGTGGCCCGATCTTCTGGTGAGGGGATAACTCTCGCTTTGATCGAGTGTGACGTTTGCGACGTGGCTACCAACAGAACAAGTCTAGGACGTCGTGCAATCGCTACACCACAAACGATGTCATACCAACCGTGACGCGCGGTTGATGATCCCTGCAATGCAAACGAGAGAACACTGCAAGAACAAGATAAGATGCAATCTAAATATTGCGAATAGGTGATTAAGCACAAAGGAATAGTTGCGATTGAAGTGGTAGATCTAATCGACCCGGCAAATCAACACACCAACTATTGTGGGCTCTGAATCAATAGTCGCCGACTAATCGAACGAGGACTAGAGACAAGGTGAATGGCACTTGGCAAAATTCAACTAAACAAAACCCAATTATTTTTTTAGGATGTACAAAGCTATTTGTAGAGGAAAATAAAGCTAGGGTTAAGTGCTAATTCGTGGAGGTGGAGGGAGACACTTCCGAGATGGGCCTAGTCTATTACAAGGCCCAAGGCCCAAGTTCGGTTTCAGCAACAACACTGTCTTGTTTTGGCGATTCCCGTTGACTCGAGATGAATTTGGACATGAGACTGGATGCGTTTGAAAGGTAGCGAGATAAGCTTTCCACGAAGTCCAAGATCATCCAAATTCGAGTTGGCATGAAGGTGCTAGGTCCGTTTGAAGTCAGTGCTGTCTCCGGAGGCCGAATTGGGTTCCAAAACTCATTGGACTTTAATATCTTGTAGATCCTCCATTCATCCAACGTATTCTTTGGCAATGTTTTATATTTCTCATGCTTGGTTGTATGCATATACTTGATGGCCACATCATTGAGGGAGACTATGTGTCTGTTTTTTTGGTTAAGAGAGGAAAATCTGACTCGGTCCATAGTCGAAGGAGGTAATACCATAATATAGACTTTTTCCTTCTCGATTTGCAAGAGGCCCAAACCGAACTATCAATTGAACATCTCAATTGCCATCAGTTTGGTCTAACCTGACGGCAGAAACAGATTCTCTAGAGTAGTCTACAAAGCCAGAACTCAAGAATATTTCATTTGAGGAAGATACCACATACACTTGATGTCGCAACAGAAGTTCACCGAGTGACTTGAAAAAAATCTACAAGATATGATAATTGCAACTGCAAGTGTATAAGAATTAGGGAAATGCCGTACAACTTTCCATGGTCGTCCCTAGCAATTTGGGGGCCCCGTGCCAAATTCAAAATAAGGCCTTGTGTTAAAAAATACAAATTATATGAATAGAGCAAGGCTATATGTTTTTCACAAACGTTGATATGTCTCTACTAACATTGTCTTTTTATTTGATCTGCATCGCAGCCACTGGCCCTTCAATCACCTTGCACTTGGCCCTAAATTTCGAGGGCCTATGCGGTCTCTCACCTCGCACTTGCTCAGGGATCCTTCACCTTCCATAAAATGTTCAACAAGGTCAGAGGAAACATTAATTCTGCTCTCATCAAGCACCAGATAGGAAGCTACAAGTAATTTCGGCTAAATTTCCCATGCAACTCTTAGGCCATTCCCAACCCAAGACACTAGACATAGTTGTCATAAACTCCATATCATCAAGAAACTAGTACTAGATATACTCTTTCAATGCAAACACCACTTTTCCATACTTAAATTTAATGTTTCTTATATCACATGATGTCTTAGATGATGTGTAGAAACTATGTGTCATGCAAGATCTGGTTTTCTTATCTTTCCTCATTTACTCACTTGCTACATCATTTTTCATCCTAGGTGACAACTTATTTAATGCTATTGACACCATTTTAGTCATTAGGTTAGGGATGGCCTTATGTGTTTCATCCATCCTAAAGCTGACCGCAGCATTGCTCTAGCTTTCGAACATGCCCAACGTAGTAAAATCCTTATTACTACCGGTCACTAGTGAAATCATCGCCAAATAAAGATTTTTATTTTCATCATTTATATTTTTTTATTTTCATTTACATCCAAGGGCAATGGTCAGATTTCTTTTACCATTTAGCCTCCACACCCCTCCACATGGCGCTTTTCCTTTTTTATTTGCGATTTTCTTTTTTCCTTTTTCAATTTTCTCCTATTTTTAGCGTTTTCTTTTCGTGTTTTTTTTGACTTTTTTCAATCTTCAACACATGTGTTTTCAAAATTTTGAGTTAGAAGTTTTTTAATCTTGATTTGAAAGTTTTTATATCTTAACCTAAAAATTTTTCAATCCGAATTGAAAGTTTCAAATCTCGACTTGAAAGTTTTCAAATTTGGGTCGAAAGTTTTAAAATCTAGGTTAAAAGTTTTCAAATATGGGTTGAAAGTTTCAAATTTGAATTGAAAGTTTTTCAAATTTGAGATGAAAAGTTGAAATTTTTCAAAAATTGACTTGAAAAAAATTCAAATTTCGATTGAAAGTTTTTAAAATTTGACTTCAACGTAGATTTCTTTTCAATCTACTAGTAAAAAACCCTGCCAAAAAAGGAAAATATTGCTAATTACCATAATTAGCACTAATGAAACTAATTACAGAGCTAACCGCGCAGGGCGTCGAGGGGGGCGTGGCTGCGCGTTACTTCCGTAGCCAGTGTGCACGCGAAATAGGAATCCCTGCAATTTTCATGATCGGGTAAAGAGAACACGATGTACTACATCAACATTACGATCCGTTGCCCCCAAATACTATACAACGTGCATGCATGGTATGTGGTAGTTTTTTCCGTTGCAACGCTGAGACACTTTACTAGTATAAATATAATAATCAAATATATAATATAAGCTTGTACAAAACTTTTTGCCTCAATACTTTCTTTAAACAAATAAAAATATATGAGACTTAAGGTTTCATGAAATTTATTTATATATATGGAAAACAATAGCAACTTTATAGAACTCTCTCCATCCCAATAAAGCGTGCACACATTTTAAGATTTAACTCCCTAAATATTTAACCAACAATAATTTACTGGTAACATGCACATGCTTACGCTACGGCTTAACAGTTATTTTGACAATTAAATATATAATGAGATTGGTATAAGATTCACACAAAACGGAACAAATTATTGGGTGACTTCGGAATTAGACAATTCATTAACCTTCATACCAACACTTTAACCGAAATTGAGAATGCAAAAGCACTAGTCAAAGTGCAATGCAGCATATAAAAACAGATAGAAGGGATTAAATCTATCATCTCTTTGCCTCTCTTTCAATGGAAAGACAAAATATTTAACATTTTCATGAAGCAGCAAGGAACAGTCAAATTTTCCAACACCAAGAAATTAGTTGAATTTACTTGCTTTGTCTGTCGAATCTATATAATTGATCGAGAATAGACAAGTCTCACAGTCTGCTATAAAAAAGGACGTCTTTGCAAAAGTTGTTTAGTAAGTACTTAAGCAGGAACTACTTGGCCAACAAATTATAGATTTTCTTACCAAGTCAGGAGAATTTCACACTCATCAATTTATCTGGAAACAAAATCCTATGTGTGCCATAACCAATACTAAAGAAAATACATATAATATAGCACTGGTATTGGTGAAGCCGCAATCATCAAGCTGAGCACTATGATGACCTACGTTTCGGTGGTGGCGACGCAGAGGAGATCGGCGAGGTGGGCGACTGCCAGCGGGCATTGAGCGTGTGAAAAAAAGGTGGGAGAGGGTGCGAAAGACGGGAGTCACAGGAGGTAGATGGTGGGAGGGATCTAGGAAGGCTAGGGCAAGCGTCGATCTGGGCGACCTCGGTGGCAGACAGTACAGGGACGCGGTGATTAGTGGGTGAGGGTTGTAGAGGAAGGCATGCGAAGGAAAATGGGCCGTGATTGATTTGCTGGCGTGTGTGATTTTCAGCTGGTGACCCTGCGTGCATGCGCTGTTGTCAGATCTGATGTATTGGATGATTTTCGGACGTTAGATTTGATGAATAAGGTCCGTAGGATATCAATGATGAACTATAGGGTAGATTATAAATTAAGTTTTATTTGATAAAAAAATAATATTATTGATCGATATTTGTATTTACTTTTATATAATTATGATATTATTGCTATAAATATCATAATATTTAAAAATACCATTAATTTTAAAGTGGAAGAGTATTTCATACCGCGGCCGTCCACGCCACTTGATGACACGCTGTCGCCAGCGGAAGTTCCCAAAAGTGACGAAATTTCGGCATAGCGAAATTTCGCAGCTCGACTTGGAAAACCCAAAACGGCAAAAAGCACGGAGAAACAATCCATCGACGTGGTAATCAATCAAATCGAAAGAAAAAAAATAT